GCAAATATATACTGGGGCTTAGTAAACAATCTGTCAATATAGCTGCTAGAGCAGAACTAGCCCAGTATCCCATAGATGTCTTTATTAAAGTACAATCTTTGAAATACTTAGCAAGAATATCCAGTGATGAAAATAACCCTTTATTATTATGATGCTTTCTGTTTATCTAAATGGCTTAGCGCAAACGGTACCTTTTCATGGTTCTCATATGCACAAAATATAGCCAAAACAAATAAATTAGACATAAATAAAATACAGGATATAAACTATAAACAAGAGAAGAGTTCATTCTCCAAAAAAATTTAAAAAAGAACTAAAAGATAGCTTTGAAAATATGTTCTTTGAAAAATTAAAATCAACTAATGAAACAAGTAAAATGTTCTTGTACAGTAAAATTAAGACAAAATATGAAATAGACAAATACATTCTTAAAAATAATTTTGAAAATCGAAAAATGATATGTAAAATGCGAGTAAGTGACCATTTTTTTGAAAATAGAGAGGGGTAGATATAAAAGAATTAAAAGAGAACTGAATAGAATATGTAAACATTGTAATATTAATGAGGTTGAAGATGAAACCCTCTTTTTCTTAACATGTAAAATTAATATATCTTTACGTAATCATCTTGAAAAAGACATAAATGATATTTGTCCTGAATTCTTTAAATTGTCTGAAACAGATAGATTAAAATTACTTCTATCTTCATTTGATAGTATGCAGCTTACTGTTCCGTTTATTAAAAAGTCATTTGCACTGAGGAGAGTGGACACAACACCTGCATAAATATTATTATTTTTTTCCTACTGCTATATATATGATGTTTAATATGTAATGATTTTTACATTGTGTATATATTTGTATTGTATTGTTTATATGCCTTCAACCCCTCCGGGTATAAATGTGCATTTCATTAATAAATAAATTGTTAACGTTGGTCAGGTCACGTTTTCGCAAGCTTTGAAATTTCTTTTCCGTTTTTACTTCTTCATATATTTGAATATAAAAAGATGAAATATTATTATATTTCAAATTTGAGATAAATCTTATGATAAATAAAAAAGTGATTAGCATTAAAAGTTTTCATTTTGGTCCTGTCATTGTCCTGTCATTTGGTCCAGTCATTAGTGTAACCCCAGTGTCACAAGGTTACAGTTTTTAAAAGCCGTTAGCCTTAAATTCAGGACCTAAGAACCAATCTCGGCAAACAATCGATTAGATTTAACCAGAGACATATATATATACACGTATATGTCTCTGATTTAACCTAGTTTTTTTAAACCTGCACATTATACAGTTAAAATCAGTTATTTAGACTCATCTTGTTCAAAATCCCACTTCCACCTCACCGTGGAACGACACAAAAACATTTATAAATTAAATGCCATTTTTTTCCATACCATCACCAGAAGTTTCGTGAGTTTGCAAAATCCTTGATTTGTGAGGAATCAGTTTTTCATGTTTATATCACTGAAAATGTTGCAATGGATTTTGTAATACCACTAGTTAAGACAAAAAGTGTAATATGATTTCTAAGATAAACATGTTTGAGCTACTAGTATTATTTTAACAAACATTACCAGTTATAATTGTTTCACAGTAATGACGAAAAAGTAAAACAACAAAAAATACCGAACTCCAGGGAAAATTCAAAACGGAAAGTCCCTTAACAATTGGCAAAATCAAAATCTCTAAAACATCAAACGAATGGAAAACAACTATCATTTTCCTGACTTGGTACAGGCATTTCCTTATGTAGAAAATGGTAGATTAAACCTGGTTTTAAATCTAGCTCACTTGTATGACAGGCTCATAAAATTTGAATAAAAGGCACAGAATCCGAGGTTTCAAAATACTTGTTTTGTTTGACTTCTTGATCATTGTCACCAATACCATATCCATTTTTCTGTATTATGTTGTACATGTCTGATCATGTCTACAAAAGAGGGACGAAAGATACCAGAGGGACAGTCAAACTCACACTTGAAAACAAACTGACAAGGCCATGGCCAAAAATAAAGACAAACAGACAAATAATAGTACAGATGACACAACATAGAAAATTAAAGATCTGATATCTTCATCTGATGAATTGCGTTTTTTTTATCATTATGACATATCCATTTTTGAAGATTTTCATACCTATATTAATCAAAGATAGAATACAAAAAAATCTTTTGAAATTTTGACAGTTTTGTTAACATGTTTGTCATCTAAGAACTGCAAATCAAGGTCAAGACATGAAAAAGAAATAGTCAAACGGGTCTACTTTTTTAATATAAAAATATGAGACAACTATTCACAAAGACCGAAGATTAAAAAGTACTGAGTAAACAACATTTGCTGTATGGGTAAGCTATTAAAAGGACAGAAGATGACAAAATGAGAAACTGGTAATTCAAAATAAACAAGCAGATGCCAACTTTATGCTACAAATGATAAACTTGTAAAAACGATACCTGGGAGATAACAAGTCTATAAAGTGCACTTCCAATACCAAGTATTTTGACCAATTTAACCTGTTGTCTTTTTTATAACTATATTTTTGTGGGAATACAATGACGTTTTAAATGCTATGGTACTTTTGACCCTGGTTCTTTTCGAGAACTTTTTTTAACATAACTCCAAAGTTATGATCTACACTGATGACCACAGTTAAAAGATCGTTTTATGACATAAATCTTAGAGCAATACTAGATATGAAACAACAATTTAAACTCTTTTTATTAGGAAATAAGTAGATGTAGTATGATTGCCAATATTATAAGACAACAATTTATCAGTCAAAATGATGTGGATTTAAGAAACTTTAGATCATCATATTGTCTTCAACAATGATCACAACTCATACTGTATAGTCAGCCATAAAAGGCTCCAATATTACTAAATGTGAACTGACTTTTTGAACAACAAAAAAAACAGCTCATTTATGACAAACAATAAACGAAAAACAAATATGACAGTCAGCAACAAACGACAACCACTGAATTACAGACTTCTGATTGGTGACAGGCTCATCTGAATGTGGGGATAAAAATTTTCTGAGCTCGCAACCCTCCCTCAACCCCGGACAGTGGTGTAACAGCGCAAAATGTAAAACAAAAAAAAGATATTTGCAAATGGCATGAATCATCAGACTGGAACGAGTTACAATCACACAACTTAGACACAAAGTACCATACCAAATTAAGAGTATATGTAGTTATTGAAAGCTAGTTCAAATCCAATAACAACCAATCAATATTTGTTTTTTCTACAAGACTATATTTTGTATTTATTTTGTGGCTCTGAAAGGGGTTATTTTGCATATTCTTGTTCTTGCTCTCGGTCATCTTCTCTCTAGGTGTAATAACTAGAACTTCTTGTTAAACATTAAAACATCAGATTCGGTCTTTTTAAATCTAATTGTAACAGAGACATATGTCTCTGATTCTAAGCTGTGTGGATGGATTTTAAACATTCAATCTCTCTTGGTTAAATCAAAGTTAAATAAATCGACTCGCTCTTTGATCAACCAGAGACATATAATTATTCTATGTCTCTAAATCAACTAAGAGGGTACTGTTACATCTGCTGTCAAACTGACTTCGACTTCAAGTTTAACTGGGGGGGTACCTATAAAGTACCAAAAAAAGGATTTAAACTACTGATTTAAAGTCTGATATCGAAGCATTTAAAAAAAAACTTTCAAATGAAAATCTCTGCCTCAGTTTTGTCTATTTGTTTTGAGGAAACTCTTTCATTTTCCAAGTTAACTTGTTATCCATTACTTAAACTTTCAGAATTTTTAATGGTACAATTTAAAAAATGTTCAACCAATCTGAATGGAATTTTACTTGTCTCTTTCAGAAGTACAATTGAATAACTACATATTCTTCAGAACTTCTAGATTTTAGTGGTAGTGGTTGGGGCAACATATGCACTTTAACGTGGTATTTGAAATCAAATCAATGTATCCATTTTATAATTAATTGTTTAAGTTGCCAAATGTTTAGAATATATCTATACAGATACATTTCCTTTTTTTAGATACAGTTTTTACTTTTGCAAATGTCTAAACCTGTTAAGGATTATGTTTCAACAAATTACATTGAAATATTTATCATTTTTTTTCATAGATACGATTTGGTTTGAATGTTTGGCTGTACCTGATTACAAACAGGAAATCACATTCTAATTTTCATAGGAAAGTTGTTTATAGAGTCCATAAACTTAGATATGATCCATGTAAACTTATTGATCCTTTGAATAAACTCATCCTGATAGATTATCGGTATCAATTTAACACAGTAGCAAGACCTTTGAATATTATCTTTGCACCAACATTGATTTTGTTTTTAATAATAAAAACCTAATATTGTCTTCATTGGTACCAACATTTTGAATAATTAAACTTAACACATGTGTATGGCTATGCAGCTATGGACACTTTAATATTGCTTTAAACTAGTTTTTAGTAATTGTGAGAACTATTAGATCGGTACCTTGAATTTTTTTCTTTTTGTTAGATTTTTTGTGTGCTTAATGATGATCTGATGAGTCAAGCCTTTTACATCTGATTTTTAGTTTGTTTAAATTATGCTGTGATGCTACACCACTGTCCTAGATTAGGGGAGGGTTGAGCTCCCAAAAACATCTTTAACCTGCCACATTTTTTTTGTGCCTGTCCCAAGTTAGGAGCCTGTAACTTAGTGGTTGTTGTTGGTTGCTGTCTGCTATAAATGTTTTTCATTAATAGTTTCTAGTAAAAACCAGAATTTCGGTTTTCACTTTAGAATTGTTACAATGCTGTCATGCTGGGGCCTTTTGAAGCTAAACTATATAGATAAGTTTTGCCCATTGAAGTCTTGAAGGTCATGCAGAGCCTTATAGTTGTTAATGTCCACATCCTTTGGTCTCAGGATGACAGTTGTCTCATTGATAAGCATACCTTACATTTATATCTGAGTCATGGGTTTAAAAATAGGTCCGCTGTTAATTATAAATAAACTTACAAAAAAGTACTATCAAAAAGTCTTTTTATTATTATGAGTGTTCCAAAATTAACAACAACTTTGTATATAAATTTTCTAATGTAAAAATTTTCATACTGTAGACTTAAAAATTAATGGTTTTGTTAAAATCTGCACTTGTGTTGCAGAAGATGAGGTCACATGACCCATAAATTTTGGTTTAATGGCTTTGATACAGTTTTTTAACTTCATTAAGTTGCAAGTCAGAGTTCAGTTTTTAGATACTAAGTAACCTTCAATCATATAATTTGGTGTAAGGATGCATTGTGTGAAGTATGCCAATATTCCTTTAAAAGTAGGTCACCCTGACCTAGATAATACAATTCATTGACTTAGATGAAGTTTTATGTCTGATAATAATAATTGATCTAAATTGATATAACTTATTAAGATACATCTTTTTGAGAATAGCAGCCTCCCAAAAAAAAATAGGTCACACTGACCTATTTTCTCCAATAACAATTTCACTTTCAAGTTTAGAACTACATAATAAGTGAACTAATATATTAAGTATTTTAAAAAAGGTTCTGACAAACACTTTTATCTTGATCCCCATTATAAACTGCTTGGTTATGCTACTGGATTTCAATCCCCATACATTTATTTCTGGAAATATTCATTGACTTGAAATCATAAAATTAATATTCTATCACAGATACAATGTAAAGCATAAACAATGGATAAAAACTCACATAAAATGCAAATAATATATAGACATATTGTTATACAAAATAAAAAATGTAAATCCTGATAAAACATGTCCTAATGAAAAGTGAAATTTATGACAATGAATATACTGGGAAAATAAGTTCTGTAAAACATTTGTCTCAAGTAAGCAGTCTTCCAATATCCTTAAATAGATAACTGTTTTTTTACAGGGTAAATATAAAAAAGGTAAGACTAGAAGCTTATGATATCTTATTTAATCTAGAGGCTAAATGTCTCCTGAGGAACAGATCATCTAATTTAGTTTTAAGTGGTTGAAAAGAGTAAGCTACATATTTCTCACAAGCAACCATGAACAAATACGTCTTCTAATAGGTTCCATAGTCTATAACTGTATAACAGTACTGGTTGATAAGTTTTATTGAGATCATTGCAAATTAAAAAATATGTTGTATACTTAAAAATTGGCCATAATATAAAGTTTTCTGTCTTTGAATTTTTTAATGGACATAAATTAAATCATTTATGGACCAATATAACTTGGAGCTGTTATCTATTGAAGCAATTTAAATGAAACAGGAATATTTAAGGTATTTTAAAATTTATTTCTTGTTTATACCTACTAGATAATGAGGAGTCGTACTAAGTGTTAATGTATCACCACAATCAGTGATCTGTAACTATTTGTAATGATAAATGAAGATATTTTAAAAAATGTCATTAATTATTTTCTCGCCTTACTAATTTATAATCCTTAGATAGATTGTTCATTAAATTTATAAAGCATAAAATGGTGTATATCCTTCTCATTTTTTATCATCCCTAGAAACTGAAAACCATTTGACAATAATTCTGGCACTTTATACTACAAAACTATAAACATAAATGAAGCCTAAAAGTGATTCTAAATGAAATAAAAGCATTTCCAAACTATCAAAAATATGTCACAAATATATCCTAAGTTTGGGGTGATCTTAATCACAATGAGAGTTTGTAATAGCTAGAATCAATCTTACAACACATAAAACTGTTAAATCCACAGATAGAAATATATTAAGTTCCTTTCCTAGCCTAACATGTGCAACAACAACATATTGTCATTAATTCCTTGCTCTTAATTTTGACTTAAATTTTCATAGCTCTAAAAAGTGGTTAACATTTCTTTTTCAATCTGAAAATTATAGAAGGACTATCCTAAGATTTTTTGCAGTTTCTGAGCTCTTCTAACTTCAAGTTCCTTCTGTCTATCTTCTTCTTCCTTTTGATTTATTTCTATTTCTTTTTGTCTATCTTTTTCTTCCTTTTCCAAATCAAGCTGCAACTCTTTTCTCCACTACAAGCAAATGTATTTTTTATAAAAAATGAATTGGCTTTGCTTGAATAAATAATCTTGAAAGAAAATTAAGCATTCCTAGATAATTGTAAAAGGTTACATTAGAAAAACAGTTCACTACAGACTTTATAAAAGAAGAATACTTTAAACAATTTTAATAAATTAATGTTATTTTTAATAAGAACAATACTTTCACCAATTTTACTGGGCAAATAGTTTGCACAAAAAGAGATAATTCATTTTGCTTAAAAAAAGCTTGACATATCATTTATATATAATTTGACTGAACCTAAGGTTGCAAATCTGTCAAGAAAAGTCAACCTCCAACAGTTTTGACTGCTCTGTTTAGATCTTTTAGTTTTAGGCTCCCATATGTCATGCCCCTCAGTATTATATGTAAGGGCAGTATTTTTACTTTTAATATATATTTCTATATACCATTTATATTATATGTTCTGTTCACAATTCTATACAATATATATCAAAGGATTTCATATTGGTCAAGTGTTAATCATATGAACTTTAGTTTTGTTACTGTGAGTGACATTTATGGCTGTTTTGATAAAATAAACTGTTATCACAGAAATATGTCTCGCCTTTTTGCAATTTTGATAATGCAAATGTTGAAATTAAAATAGCAATGCTTTATCATGTAAGTTATGCAAATATTCAAAGTCAATGAACCATGACTGAAGGTACATGGCTAAACAATCTCCATGGAATGAGATGTGCCAATGCTAATACAACTGCATACCAAATACCATTGACTTATTATAAGTCGTTCCCTTTAAACAAACCTAAACACAAACATTAACTTGTAAACTATGTAAAAGTTTCAAAGTCAATGAACCATGATCAGGGGTGGGGCCAAGGGTCCGGAAACGGTCATATATGCCAGTCATGTACTAAGATGAAACTATTTGTCCTAAACGAGTAATTGGGATTTAGGACAAATTTTATTTTTTTAAAGAAGTAATTTTGGTCATTTCATTGACTCAATGACTGAAATCGGATTTCTTAATCGCCATTTTGCACTGTCTTGTGTAAGTTGTGATCACTTGTTTTTGTTTATAATCCCTTTCCTGTAATAAAACTGCCACTCCAGTAGTTTGATAATCCTGAGGGCCCTCCTAATATCTATATCAATGCCTCCAGGAAACATTGGCTAATGATCGCTAATCACTTTTTACCTGTGGTTTTAATTCACACCTGACAGTGATCACAAACTCAGAATAATATCTTAACAAAAATTGAAATTCCCTGACAAGTGTATTCATTATTTAATTACTTTTCAGCAAAGACAATCATCTAATCTGATTTAAAAACTAAATCTAAAGGTATGTTAAACCTAAATTTATGGAGAAAAAAGAATTTTTTCATGTGCTTTGTTAACTATATAATACGCATGCGTGAAATTGTCTTCAGCAAATTGAGGCTTGCAAATTTAATGTTTAATCGTAAAATGCAAATTGATTTCATGCTAAATTAAACGAGTGCAACTATTGTCTGTTACATTCAAACACTTTTAAAGATAATAAAATAAAAAAGCCATAAAAAGCTGGTGATTTCCTTTCAATTTGATAAACAAAACAAATCCCGGAAATGAATCCGGAATTATTCATACTTTAACTTTATCGCAAACTTCCTGTTTTAACTTTTGTCAAATCGAAAGAAACGTAAGCAATGTCTGAGAGATTTACCATTTTGAGTCATTAAAATCATTTCAATTTTAAACTATTGCCTTCCCTAAACTGTTCTTCATGGTAATGGTAAGACATTTACTTAGTAAAGGAGATGAAACAGCAATACAAGTTCGTTGATGCTATGAATCTATCAAGTTGACATCAACAATTTGGAAAGGGGCACCAACTTTTCAATCATCTCAAAATGACCGAAATTGTGTGGAAAAATTTCCGGATCCTTGGGTGGGGCTATATAATCTCCATGGAAACGATACTTGCAAATGCCAATAAATTTGCATACCAAATATCATTGACTTAACATTAGCAGTTCATCTTTAACTGATCTATTATCACAAACTAATACATATAAACTAAGCAAAAGTTTCAAAGTCAATAGACTATGACTGAGGGGGCGGGGCCAAATATTCTCCATGGAAATGAGATGTGCTAATGTTTATACAACTGAACACCAATTAACATTGGCCTACCACTAATGGTTCCCCTTGAACTGACCTAATCACAAACTAATACATGTTAATTTAGCAAAATTTTCAAAGTCTATAGACCATGACTAAGGGGGCGGAGCCAAATAATCTCCATGGAAATGAGATATGCCAATGCTTATACAACTGCATACCAAATATCATTGACCTACCACTAGTGGTTCCCCATAAATTGACCTAATCACAAACTAATACATGTAAACTATGAAAAGTTTCAAAGTCAATAGACCTTGACTGAGGGGGCGGGGCCAAATAATCTCCATGGTAATGAGATGTGCCAATGCTTATACAACTGCATACCAAATATCATTGACCTACCACTAGTGGTTCACCATGAACTAGACCTAATCACAAACTAATACATTGTTGACGCCGCCGCTGCCGCCGGAAACAGCATACCTATGTTGTGCTTTTTTACTCCGTCAAGGCGAGACAAAAATGTTTTACTATAGAGATCTAATAGACATTTTTTTTTAAATAATTGACCAAACACACTGGCAAACATAGTCAGAGTTAATAAAACAGAAAGAAATACTGTTATGTCATTAGTATTAGCCATCACAAATGAAATTTGGATTTTTAATAATTTATTTTGGATATTTATAGGATCTTAATTATCTAACAGATTTTTAAAAAACTTACACAAATATTTCATAACTGGAAGATGTGAATATGAAAGGATTTTTTTTATAAAAATACAACAAGAACAACATAGTTTTTTAATTATGTCTTCTCTTCATGAAAATCCTCAAATTCTTAAAGATGCATATTTGCAGAATGGAAATAAAACATTTTACTTATTGAAATTTAAATTGCATCTTTACAAAATGAGTTAACATCATAAAGATAAATTTTGCCTTATGCATTTTATGTGAGAATTACTTTCTATAGTAAATTCAAGCATGAATAATTATAAATCAACTTCACAATAAAATGCTCCGCAGGGCGCAGCTTGATACGACCGCAGAGGTCGAACCCTGAACAGTTGGGGCAAGTATGGACACAACATTCAAGCTTGATACAGCTCTGAATTTGGATTGTGATTAAATATTTGACACAGCATAGGTTTCTGACACAGAATGAATGTGGTCTAAGAACTGAAAAATTTTAAATTGGACATTCACCTATTATGGTCCAATATCCAAAATCTAAATACATGGTTAGATTCAGCATATCAAAGAACCCCAAGAATTCAACTTTAGTTTAATTTTGGACCCTTTTGACCTCAATGTGGACAAAGTTGATAACGGGGCCCAAAAATCTAAATACATGGTTAGATTCAGCATATCAAAGAACCCCATATATTCAATTTTTGTTGAAATCAAACAAAGTTTAATTTTGGACCCCGATTTGGACCAACTTGAAAACTGGGCCCATAATCAAAAATCTAAATACATGTTTAGATTCAGCATATCAAAGAACACTAAAAATTCAATTTTTGTTAAAATCAAACTAAGTTTAATTTTGGACCCTTTGGACCTTAATGTAGACCAATTTGAAACGGAACCAAAAATTAAGAATCTAAATACACGGTTAGATTCGGCATATCAAAGAACCCCAATTATTCAATTTTTGATGAAATCAAACAAAGTTAAATTTTGGACCCTTTGGACCTCAATGTGGACCAATTTAAAAACGGGGCCCAAAATCCAAAAAACTTAATACACGGTTATATTCAGGATATTAAAGAACCCCAAGAATTCAAGAATAAAACCCCATTGAAATTGATCAAGAAATAAGCAATTTATAAGAAGTATCTTCTTTTGCACAATACTGTGCAATTGAATATTTCTTGCTATTGCGCAATACTGTACAATTGACAATTTCTTGCTATTGCTCAATATTGTGCTATTGGATATTTCTTGCTATTGCGCAATACTGTGCAATTGAAGATTTCTTGCTATTGCGCAATACTGTGCAATTGAAGATTTCTTGCTATTGTGCAATACTGTGCAATTGAAAATTTCTTGCTATTGCACAATACTTATTATATAAAAATTTACACATCCTGTTTGGTGTGTATCTCCTACCATATCATTATCATTTGCTTTTAAATATAAATCAGAAATAACCAACTTAAAATGGAAAATTTTAAAAGAAAAAAAAAAGGAAAAAAAAGAAAAAAAAGGGGAAAAAAAATCCCCCCCCCAAAATTTTTTGAACCCCCTTATGATTCATCACCCCCAAACTCAATCCCAGCCTTCCCTTTGTGGTATGGTACCTTGCAGTACAATTTCAGAGAGATCCATACACTTGAACACAAGTTATTGTCTTGAAACTAGAAAAATGCTTATTTTTGGCCCCTTTTTGGTCCCCAATTCCTAAACGTTTCAGGCAATTACCCCCTTACTCAATTCCAGCTTTCCCTTTGTGATATGAAACCTTGTAGTACAATTTCAGAAATATCCAAACACTTACACACAAGTTATTGTCTGGAAACTAGAAAAATGCTTGTTTTTTGCCCCTTTTTTGGCCCCTAATTCCTAATATTTTGAGGCAATTACCCCCAAAATCAATTACAGCCTTCCCTTTGTGATATGGAACCTTGTGGTACAATGTCAGAGAGATCCATACACTTACACACAAGTTATTGTCTGAAAGTTACAAAAATGCTAATTTTTGGCCCCTTTTTGGCCCCTAATTCCTTAACTGTTGGTACCATAACCCCCAAAATCAATCCCAACCTTCCTTTCGTGGTATTGAACCTTATGGTAAAATTTCATGGAGATCCATTCACTTTAACTAAAGTTAGAGTGCGAAAACCAATGTGTCTTCGGACGACGCCGGACGACGCCAGACGACGACGACGACGCCAACGTCATACCAATATACGACCAAAAAATTTTAATTTTTGCGGTCGTATAAAAATGAAAGTTCACCAAAATAAAACTGTGACATCATATGCATGTGATTAAGACAATGACCTAAAAAATAACAAACAATATAAAATCTATACCTGATCTTCAACAATTCTCCTCAAATCAAAGCTTAGTCTAGTATTTACGCCAACAGGTGGTTCATATAAAGCTGTGGCTAGCTGTATTTCCTCCCTAAAAGTATTGATTAAATACTTATAATTATTAGCGTTTAATTATCAAATAAATAAGCTTTTGCAAGGAAATAAACTTTTATTACAAATTAATTGTAGTTTTAATTGGTTACGTTGAGTTTCTGTCTCACAGGTCTCACAACATGTACTTGTTTTCATATCTCTACATGAGCAAATTACAATTAAGTGCATGAGCATTGAGAAATAACTGAAAAAATTTACAACAAGTGTGGCAGATATTTTGAATTTTTACATCAATTTTATCCTTTAACAATATTTCCAAAGATAACTTAATTTCAGACTTGGCTTTCAAATATTCGGCTTTGAGAGTTCCTGATGAAGGTAAATCCAGAAAAGCTCTTTGGACGCATAAAATTTATAACATATTATTTAAATTTTTTACTGTGACTTGACTGTTAGTGTTGCTCTCTACCTATTGCAACTTATTCAAAATTCTGACCAAATTGCGGTAGAAATCCACAGTCTAGCCGTGAAAGTGCAAGGTGATAAAAATCAAGCATACTTACAATCCTATAAGACTTTAATTCCACTTCAATGTTATTATGAAAAATCAGTTTGACAGTTTGTATAGAAATTTTATTGTTATTGTCATGCTAAAGGTGATAGGTAGTAATTTTGAACTGCTATAAAAATGTCCAAACTAAGTTTTCATACAATTTTGCTTTCGAAAAGTCTTCTATATTCATAAGAATCAGACATCATTTGAATTAAAACATTTTATATTCAGTAAAATATGTGTGAAAATACAATATGTTTTTAGGAAGTTTCCATGGGAGATAATCAATTTTTCTTTCGAAAAGTCTTCTATATTCATGGAAACTTATTAACAACTTATTGTAATTTCACATATATTTTACTGAATATAAAATGTTTTAATTCAAATGATGTCTGATTCTTATGAATATAGAAAACTTTTCAAAAGAAAAATTGTATGAAAGCTTAGTTAGGACATTTCTATACAATTCAAAAGTACTACCTATCACCTTTAGCATGACAATAACAATAACATTTCTATACAAACTGTCCAACTGATTTTTCATAATAACAACCGACTGTGCGAGGGCTGTATAGCCAGTCAAGGTCGTTAAAAACTTCCATCATCATAATAACATTGAAGTGGAATTAAAGTCTTATAGGATTGTAAGTATGCTTTATTTTATCACCTTGCACTTTCACGACTTGACTGTGGTTTTCTACAGCAGTTTGTTCAAATTTCTGACCAGTTGAATAGTTTGGTTTTATAAAAACAAATTGCAATTTGGTCAGAATTTTGAATAAGTTGCAATAGGTGGAGAGCAACACTAACAGTCAAGTCACAGTAAAGAAGTTTTCACAGTTTAATGTCCCCTTTGAAATTATGCAGATACTCAAGCTGTATTTTTGTATCTACAAATCTTATTTGAAATGAGGGGGTTTGTGGGAAGGGAAGTATTTTCATGAATACTTGAATTCCTGGTTTTGACCAATTTTGCATGGTATGATGATATAAACCTACAAGAAATTTGTATTTTGTTGAACACTAAATGTACTTCTATCTACAAAATTGATATCCCTTCAATAAAAAATACACAGTACCATGATTCTATGTGTGAGATGTTACTTCTGGAATTCAGGGTTGATAATACATTTATACTGAAACAATTATTTGATAATCAGTTTATACAGAACTTGTTATGAATATTTATTCCTGTAATCTGACAGATCTCATACCATATTAGCTGCATGAAAGGTATTAAGACAAACGTTCAAATCACCCATACAAACAAGAAATCAAACTAAGTAAGCAAAAACAGAGGGAAACGTGTAATATACTTCCAATTAGTAAACAAATTGAAAAGGAACCTTAACATATCAAATGACTGAACAAAGGTATATACTTAAGTGTTGTTCTGTTAGGTTTCTTCTGTCTTGGTGATACTTGCTGTATCTTTGGTGGAGGTGAACTCTTTCTTACAGGAGGTATGTAAGGATTAACTGCTGGAGGCAGGGGTGGTAGGTAGATGTTAGACAGACCACCAGCTATCATTCCACCAAGTCTACCAGGGTTGGATAATGTTGGTTTGTTTAATAGGCCCTCTAAATCTGTATGTACCTATAAATTATGAAAATAAAGTATGTTACACAAATAATTCTATCTTCAATTTTTATAAATAGAATCCATTAATTTGAAATAAATTAAAACAACTGTGTATTTTTTTTTAATAAAACAAATTTATTAATCAACCAGTGTTCCATCAGACACAACTATCTTTGTGTTTCCCAGTATAAAATTACATTTATGATATAATGTATAGCTGTTCTGCAATATCAACTTTTTCTTACAATCACAGTTTTTACCTACATAAAGTTATTTCGAGTAACTCAGGTTTCTTTATTTTGAATTTTTGAAAAAAATGTTATAGTAAGAATCACAGATGAATAATTACGGATTTTCTATCTTAGTGTCAATCTATAGCTCTATCCATTTACTAATGCCTATATAACAACTGTTCTTTGGCCCTTTTAGGCTTTATCATCTCTTCAAGCACAAGTTCAAGTGTCTATTAGGTTTGGAATTATCAAACATTTTCACCTAGCTATATAGAGCATCAACCAAGAGACATTAATTATATTTCAATTAAACTATTTCAAAAATTCCCTTTTTAAATAGTTTTGATACACTATACCTCAGTATATTTTTATTGTCAATGTTGGCACTGATGTCAATCTCACACATTATTTATCTATATTGGTTTGCAAACTTGCATTTGAAAATATGATTTACAATTTATATGCTTCTTATGAATATGCATCATTTCAGCTGTATTAATAGAGTAGACATAATGTTTTTATCCTTCTAATGACACAGTTCAATGGCAAAAGTCTGTTATACTTGCCTTCTTTTTAGAAATCCTGTAAAGTTAATTCCAATTTACTACTGACCTGTCCAACTTTTAATGCCTCTAGGACTCTGTCATCCTTCTCCATTGAATGTGCCCTAAGTAGACTGTTCCAAGCAGCTGTTCTCATCCCTTCTCTAGCTTTATCACTGGCCAAACTACGACAAATCTTTACTAAAGATTGTATAGCACCAAACCTTATTCTCCAACTCCAGTCATTAGGACCTAAAATACAAAACCAAAATACAGAATAGAAAAATTATATCAATTCTAAATCAATCTGAGCCATGTCGGCATTTCAAATAAATATGGACCATGTACAAAACTAGAGGCTCTCAAGAGCCTGTGTCGCTCATCTGTATCTACTGTGTTTTTGGAAATCATATAAAATAAGGTTAAAATCATAATAAATAGTATTAGATACCCTAATAATGATCGAGGCCAAGTTTGGTTTAATTTGGCCCAGTAGTTAAATTAAAAGCAGGTCATTCCATTGTAGTCTTACAATAGTTACTGAAGACCCCTTATCATTATTTAAATTAGTTTTCAAGTTGTGACCATCTGAAATTGTTTTTTTTACAATTTTCCCTTAGACTTCTATAGTAAACCCCTATGATCTATTTTTAGCCATGGCGGCCATGTTGGTTGGATGACAGGGTCATCAGATACATTTTTCAATCAAGATACCCTATTGAAAATTGTGGCTAAGTTAAATTCTATTTGGCCCAGTAGATTAAGTGGAGAAGATTTTTGTAAAAGATTATAAAAATTTACGTAAAAATTGACTATAAAGGGCAATAACTTCTTAAGGGGTCAATTGACAATTTTGGTCGTTTGACTTATTTGTAGATCATACTTTGTGAACATTATTGCTGTTTACAGTTTATCTCTATCTATAATAATATTTAAGATAATAACCAAAAACTGCAAAATTTCCTTAAAATTACCAATTTAGTGGCAGCAACCCAACGATGGGTTGTTCGGATCGTCTGAAAATTTCAGGGCTGATAGATCTTGACCTATTGAACATTTTAACCCCATGTCAGATTTGCTCTAAATGCTTTAGTTTTTGAGATATAAGCCAAAAACTGCATTTGACCCCTATGTTCTATTTTTAGCAATGGCGGCCATGTTTGTTGATGGATCAAAACTTTGGATACAATTTATAAACTAGATACCCTAAGTATCATTCAGCTTAAGTTTGGTTGAAATTGGTTCAGTAATTTCAGAGGAGAAGATTCTTGAAATAGTTTACGACGACGACGACAGACGACGGACGCCAAGTGATGGCATAAGCTCATATGGGGCCCTTCTGGCCCCGTGAGCTAATAATTTCTTAAAGAAGAAATGTCAGACGATTTCAGACATGTTAATTTATTGTAGATGTTGTCTAGCCGATAAATTTCTCTCTTCCTATCATAGCTTTTAAGATTAAAGCCAAAAACAGAAAAGGGTATAAATTGTCATTAGAGGACAATAACTTCTATAAGGATTCAACTGATGATTTGGTCATTTGACTTGTTTGCAGATCTTATTTTGATGATAATTTCTGCTCTGTACAGTTTCTCTCTATCAAATTAGGTTTCAAAAGTTACCAAAAAGAAAAAGATGGCTACAATTCATCATCAAAGGGCAATTACTCATTTTGGCCATGTTTGACTTATTTGTAGAACTTCGTCTTACTGATCATTTATGGTTTTTTTAAGCTTCTCTCTATCAATTATAGTTTTTATGATAATGACCAAAAAAAAATGCAATAAATTGGTTGAAATTGTCATTTCAAGTCTATAGGGAGTAGTCTGACTATTTTGGATAAAAAGGACAGCAAGTAGATCCTGACATTCTTAAAACTGTTTGCCATATTTTCTCTCTATATGTAGGATGCAAAAAACTGGTTTTCTGTAGGACTTCATATTTTGAGGGACCATGCATAAGTGACCCCTTAGGGTTGGTATTGCTTCTAAAGATATTTAAATAAATCTAGATACAAATGTATTACTGGAATCCCAATTTATTTCAAGTTTAAAATGAAAATAAATGACATGGACACAGTTGATGCCCCAGCTTGCATATAAACTTATAAAGGACAAACGGACAGAAAGACAAGGGTAACACTTAATGACCCCTTTGGTGTGACGGGGGCATAACAATAGTGTTATTTTAACACAATAAAAATGTTCTACCCAAAGAAAAATGACAAAAAAATTACCCTCTTTTAAGATGAAAAAAGTTATCTCTGGGTCATGTGAATATCCATGTAGGCATTTTAATACATTTTCATTTGAAAAAGTCTCACTTCAGGGTACATTCACCTGCTCCAGTAAGAGCTACAGTAGCTACAAACTTGTTTTTAATTTTCACTACAAGAATAATCATGAAGTTTACACAGTTGTCTCCCCTTAAACCAAGTATATCTATACTAATTTAAAATATTTTAGATTATTCATCATGTTTTATATGAAAGCTTACATTACTTACTAGCAATAATACAACATCTCCTTACTGTTGAGCATGAAAATTTATTATCGCAAAAGTGAGACATAGTGATCCTAGATTCCATCGTCATTGTCTGCATCAACATTTAGGTTCAGTCTGTGGTTAAAGTATTTTTAGACATCAATACCTTTGTCAAACCTACATGGAATTTTATGAAATTTGGACAGATACTTGTTTATGACAAAAAGACAGTATCCAGAGTGAAATTTTGAAAATATTTATTTTCATTTTTCCGTATTTTACTGATAAATGGACTTATTTATTTTGTATTTACATTGTAACATAGATCAAATTTATTTGTTCAGTGTATGTTCACTGGTGTTAATATGTCTTTTGATTGAGTTAAGCCATTTCAATTGATATTTTATAGTGTGTCTTTCTATGTTGTGATGTTACACTATTGTTTCAGATAAGGGTGAAGGTTTGGTACCATTAAAACGTTTAAACTCGCTGCAATTGTTTGCACCTGTCCTAAGTCAGGAATCTGATGTTCAGTAGTTGTCGTTTGTTGATGTGGTTCATAAGTGTTTCTCGTTTCTCTTTTTTTATAAAGATTTTCCCGTTTGAATGGTTTCATACTAGTAATTATTGGGGCCCTTTATAGATTGCTGTTCGGTGTGAGCCAAGGCTCCGTGTTGAAGACCGTAATTTGACCTATAATGGTTTACTTTTATAAATTTTGACTTGGATGGAGATAGAGTTGTCTCATTGGCACTCAAACCACATCTTTTTATATCTATTAGTTTTTTTACAGTTAACAGTCAGGCTCTGTCTGAGATCAAAGTAATTAAGTCATCAATACCTTTGTCAAACCTTAATGGACATTTTTGAAAGTTGGACAGAAGCATGTTTATGACCAAAACACAGTATCCAGAGCAAAATTTTGAAAATATTTATTTTCTTTTTCCGTATTTTACTGATAAATGGACTTAGTGTTTTTACAGTTAACAAGTAGATACAGTCTGGGGGTTAAAGTTTGTTACACATCAATTAGTTTGTCAAACCTTCATAGAATTTTATGAAACTTTGGTAGAAGCTTTTTAATGATTAAGAGATAATGTCTGAAGCAAACCTTTGAAAATAATTTTTTTTCATTTTTATAAAATTGAGAATGGAAATGGGGAATATGTCAAAGAGACAACAACCCGGCCAAAGAGCAGATAACAGCCGAAGGCCACCAATGGGTCTTCAACGCAGCGAGAAAATCCTGCACCCGGAGGTGGTCCTCAGTATTTTTAGTATTTTTCTGATAGATGGACTTCGTTTTTTACAGATAACATTTACAGACATTCTGGGGATTAAATTTTTTTGACATGATAAATTTATAAACCTTCATGGATTGTTATGAAACTTGGACAGAAGCTAATCTTCAAGACCAATAAATAGCATCTAAAGAAAAATTTGAACTTTTTTTTAAATTCTGTATTTTACTGATAAATGGACACACTTTTTAAGTCAACATTACACTTTTACACTGACAGCAGCAATTGCAGGCGAGACACAGGGTTCTATGGAACCCCTTACAAATTTTTTTTATATTACTAATTCTTTCTATCAAATACATGTTGTGGTAATAAACAATAAATTTCCTCCATGGCAATTTTTTGAAGGGGAATAACCCCTTATATTTTATACCAAACTGTTTATAGCACACACAACAGTTTTCAAGATATAAGACAATACTGTTATTTTACACCTATGTTCTCTTTATAGTCATGGCAGCCATGATGGTCTTGCACCAGGTTCACCATACATAACTTTAAGCGCTATACTCTAAGGATGCCTAGTTTGGTAGCAATTAGCCTGGTATTTTTTAGAGTAGATTATTGTAAAACTTAACAGAGGTTAGACAGACGACTTAAGCCAAGTGATGAAAATAGCTCAAAGCGGCTCATTTGGCCATGTGAGCTAAAAATAAATGCTTTTAATAAGGAAACTTTCATCATATGCATATTTGCTATGGAGATAGTTTAGAAATTGGTACCATTAAACTTATATTTAGTAATGTCATGAATGTATACACTTTATTTTGGGCCTCAGCTGTATTCTACATCAAAACTTAAATTTACCTCCATCCCTAACTTCATTGGTGGCATGAAAGAAAGCCAAGTCTAGTAGTCCGGCACTGACTAATGGTACACTGGAATAACCACGCTTGAATGGTTCTGATACATCTTTATTAATACCCATTAATGCTATCTTTTGTATATTAGCATTACTTCCATAAAGGCAAATCTCTGCTAAAGTGTCAGTAAAAGTAATGGCAACTTCCCAGTGCCAACCATTGATTCCAGGAGTGTCTGATACCTGCAAAAAAGTAAGTCAAAGGTCCTGCACAAATTATCAATTTAAAGGATGGGATGTCCTGGACTTCTGTAGTTCAAAAACCAAAAGTTCCCTCCCAGAAAAGACACGTCATGGACCTTGGATATATACATATTTAAACTCCTAAATAAAGACAGTTATTTTGGCAAGTTTGAATTGTTTAACATCAAACCTCTCTTCATGCTGAGTTTTGTACTAGATCTCTTTATTGTTTGTTGTCTGAAAGTCTTGTATTAGTCCTTCAGATTTTCAGTGTATCACATTCCATTCAATTCTTAACTCTTAAAATATGTTGTATACAAATACCATATTACCATAAAGGTGAACATAAACTGTATATTCCTCATCATTTAGAAAATTTGAGTTAGAACATAACAATAATCATATCACAAATTGTGCTTTTGGGGAAATAAGAAAAATCAAAAAAATTTAAAGGATTTAAAAATAATTGAAGTTAAAAGAAAAATGATCCATGCACAAAATGATGGTTTATAATGTTACTACTAAAACTCATCAAAGACAACAGGATAATAAGTTAGTAAGCATCATCAATTTAAAGTTTTAAGAGCATTTAAAAAAAAGAGAGCCAAATCTGCATTATAAAACCCACTTTCAGGTTGCTGAGCAGAGTGGTAGTTTCTACTTGATGGAGACCATGCAATGCTCATGGAATGCCAAGCAGCATCATAGCACTGATTTCAGGCATTCCTGTGTTTAATGTTTGTGGATTTGTCCAGGGGTATCTACCCAATATCTCTACTTTTTCCAATCTCATTCTTCACATGTTAACAAAAAAAAATTCAATATCTTATACTTCTTTGGTCAGTTCAATCTTAAAGCAGAACAGGTATTTAATAATTAACAAGCTTTTAAAATGACTGCATAAAAAGTTGAAGTGAACTCACAGGTAAATTAGTGTAAGTAGGAACAGAGCTAGCTTCAGATGCTCTTCCACTTGGTAAATCTGATCCTACTTCAGCCTTCCAAGCGGTACCAGGTAAAGGGTCAGACTGATAACTAGAGGCCCTTTTAGAATCCCTAGTAGATGGATTTGTTCTCACTGAATCTCTGGTATATGTTTTAATTCTGTTTTTGTCAGTAATTTTGTTCTTTGCATTTTCAGCAAATGATACTTCTCTCTCACGACTAGCAGTTGTCCTTTGTGGTTTTTCTTTTTTCAAACTGGACTCAAACTTTTCTAGATTTTCAATACTTAGTGCAGTTTTTTGTTGTTCTGGTGACTTTTCTGGAGAGTTGTCCTGTTTTTCTTGATCTGATCTTGTATGTTTAGATTTTCTGGCCGAGTCATGATCTTCCTCACTACGTTCATAGATATCACTAAGACTTGGTTTAGAACTCCCAACACTTCTTGATTCATGAGCTTTTTCAGAGTTGTCACTGGTAACACTGTATACATCTATAAATTGAGAACATTAATTTAATCTCCTTATTTTTCACACTAGACTACAATCATGTATCTTTAAAGTTTTCAACAATAATTTAATTGTTGACACCATTATTACCTCAAGTAAAATCTAAACTAGGATCACCTGAATCAATCTCTTACATCAAAGTAATTCAACATCTATCATATCTTATTTGATTAAAATTATATTGCACAGGACAACTGCAGGAGAACTAATTATCATTAACAAATTACTGATGTCTGCTGTCAAAAAAAGGTTTACGTTGACCAAGGTTATCATCTTCCTAGTATTCTTGGATTCTCATACACAAAAATATTTAACTAACAAATAATTCTTTCATGTCATGTCATGGTAGGCATTATATTTGTTAATATCTTTACACTGAATGTTAACAAATATAATGCCTTTCAATGTTAAAATGAGCATAGAGCATGACATGAAAGAACTAAGTGTATTTGGATTCTTATAGGAAAATTCAAACTTTTGTACTGTCGAATGGATCTATAAGACATGTACATTTGGAAGGCAGCAACTTTGATTTCATTATGCAAAAGCGTACTCAAAACCAACAGTTTCATGATTAAAAAGCGTACAAATACATGTGTACTTACATCTAGAGTAATGATTTTATTTAATTTCTTAAAATACAACTGGCCTTGCAATTTTAATTGTGACGTCAGGCATGTGCAACCCATGTTCTATTGAAATTAGAATATGGCTTTGTTCACAAACAGAAAGAAGAGAGTCATATTAGAACATTAGTTGTAAAAGGTTGCAGAGTTATAATAATGCTTCCATAAAAACTTAACTCATTTAAAATGAAATAAATAAAGAGTCATCACTATTTCTGGAATATTTATTTCTACTGCCCACTTAGACCCTACAGCCAAATTTCAAAAGAACAAAACAATACTGGTAAATATTTGATTCAAGTATTAGTTTAATCTTAATATATCATGTAAACTTGTCACAATATTTCTTTTTATCTAAGGAAATTTTAACTTCAATTAACTGTTAATAAAATGTTGAAACTGGTTCAACCCCACCACAATTGATTTTTGTCTTTGTTTTTATGCCTTTTTTGCAGAAGAGTGGTTGGTGTGGTCTCAGATCAAATTTTGTTGGCAATTCTAGTTATCCTTTTTATATGTATTAGCTATCTCTGAGCAAAACTAACAAATTAAAAACCCTCTGCTCCCCTCATTTGATGAATAGGACATATTCAGAGTTTTGTTATAGAAACTCCCAAAATTCATTCTGTTAAAAAAAATCAATAAAAGTGAATTATGCCAATGTCATGAATGTTTTCTTTGAAATCCTGATATAATTTAGGACAGGTTGAAAATACAAAGTATAAAGGATAAAAAGATTGACAGACAAATGGCACTGTGATAACTACACAACCAGCTCACTGTGTGGGAGTAATAATAAATAATGTGCATAGTTTGCAAACAACAGTGCAATGATAACAATAAATAATACACATAAATTCAAATTTAGTAGCTCCTATACATCTTTAAGTGAATTTGTATCATATAAAACTTGTGCTTTATATTTCTTTGTGCAAAAAGTGTACTCTTTATATTAAAAATAATGTGCTTCCTGTGTGTTGTCTTACCACGACCTGTTTCAACTGAAAACATTAAAAGATTTCTATTTACAGGAAATCAGTCTGCAGAAGTAAATCATAAAAACAAAATAAAAGAAGCATAGAAAAATTTAACAAGAGGCTCAAAGGAGCCTGCCTCCCTGATACGACTATCAAACAAAGCAGATGTTTTCCATGATGAACATGGGGATCATGTGCTTGTGTTTTTGATGTTTATTTATTTTACTGTTATTAAAGAATTGAAAAAATTTCCTGTTCTTATTTTTATTGTACATTTTGTATTTACCTACTGTAAGTTCAATGATTGAGTTTAAAAAGAGTGAGGGTTGAGATAAATAAACTGTTGACACAGAGATATGTCTCACTTTTTTGTAAATTTCGTCTATACTGATTGTATCTTCACTCATAGTTCTTGAGATGCCTTAGAGAGACAATCATAATCCTTGACCTTTTCTTACCTGAGTCATCTGATCTTGAACTGTCTGGTGGAGATCCTCCCTTCACTTTAGGTCTTGACCCTCGAGCTAGACTATGAAGGATTTTCATCGCTGCTATATTGGATTTAGCTGCTTCAGCCAATATTTGTAAAGCTATCATGCTGTCAACCCTAAAAAGCAATGCATTAAGTAAAAATTTGACCTCCAATAAAAAAAAAGAAATCCTTGACTTCTTTTACAATTTCCTGGCCAATAACTATATCATACCTGTGGTTTGGTAAAAATCACAACTGATCTATACTCTAACCATGAAATTAATGAAATAATGTAATGTTGTAATCTAAACTCTTGTACATGCTGACATTGCTCATTAATTATACTCCAACTCAATGATGTTGACTAGAAAAATGTGACTTTAATTTCATATATATGCATGAGGTGAGAGTTTTGTTTTGTTTTTTTGCTCCATGTTGAAGGTTATTTTGAGATGAAGAACAGCAATAAAAGTGCTGTTCCTTTGCTTTTTTGTGTTTTTTTTTTTGCAGTGCATGTACTGATTTTGTGTCATTGATGGATACCCCATATCCTTTGTTTTTCTATTAGGAAATTTAAAAGATTTAATTTTTCAGCAAACTGGAAACAGAAAATCAAAGGAAATAAAAAAACTTCATAACATTTGGCAGTATGGGATTAAGTTTGGTTTCCAGAAGCAACAACTTGCAGTTGCTGAGAAAAAGCCATCAGAAGTGTGTTCAGGAGAGACAGAGTTTGAAGTATGGGTATAATTGGGCTTGTTGAAATCAAAACCATAGAATAAGTTATCCAGAAACCCGAAAAAACATTTTCTGCAATAATCTGCAGCTACCTCAATCCATTTAATTTTTTTTTAGGAACACAATAATATATATCTATCTTGTCTTTAAAGATAAACATATAGGTCAATGTATGATTTTTTATGGTTAGAAGTAGCAGTAAAATATTTTTTCTGTAGGAGTACGGATATCCCAACCTTAATGGTAGTAAAAAATTTCATTTGCATCATGCAAATCTGGTCGAACAATTGAAAATTAGAAACAATGCTTTTTACTATTGTGTTTTCAAACCCTATCTACAAATAATAGTCATGAGAGAAAGGTAAATATTTCCTTATAATAAAACCATCTACTAAAATAACCATTGATTGAAAAATGTCAACATGTCAACATAGATTGAAGCTAGTTAAGCACTTACCAGTTTTCATTTGACAATCCCATTCCACAGGTAGCTAGAGCTTGCAAGGCTTCAGCCAACCCACCACCAAGATGATTGGTACACCTCCACACATCCAAAGCATGCCATAAGGTTGGGCTCAGATCATGTACGCTACTACTAATTGCCCCACTGTGAGCTGAGTGGCTTTGTCTCTCACTATTTTCATGTCGATCATGTGCTGTTCCAGATGTTCCTCTGCTGTAAGGCTGAAAATACAAGATAATTTTATACTAGGTAATTAGATTACATGTATTTCAGAAACTAATGTAGAATTCTACTGTGAATTCATTATTATTCATGTGATACAAATTTTCGTGGATAATTTTCATGAGTATTGGTGAACCATGAATTTAACTGTTCAAAGAAGTACAAATTTTCTAAAAGCTTGTATGCAGACTTTGACAAAACCACGAAATCAAATATCCACCAAAATGCAAATTTCCCTCAAACCACAAAAATTGATACACACGAAAAAAAACGAATCAAGAAAAATCTATTTTGTTTTTATAGAATAAAATTTGATGTTTAAATCTACTCAATAGACCATTAAACATATATGCAACTCACCAGTAGTTACCCTTGTCTCCATATATCAAGCTTAAAATCCAAAAAAAATTTTATGGAGTTAGCATAATTTAATTTCTGCATTCAAAGAACCTAAATGTCTGACAACTGAACTTGGAAATAAAAAATAAATTTGTAAGGGTTCCGCGGAACCCAGTGTCTTGCTTACTTTTGCTGTTAGTCGCAGGCTCAACAAAAATGGGGGAAAAATTATTAAAAATGTTCCTCTAGATACTATCTTTGATTGTCAGAAGCTTCTATCCAAGTTTTTTTAAAAATCCAGGATGGTTTATGAATCTAATAAATGTTTTAAAAACTTTAACTGCAGACTGTATGTAATGTTAACTGGAAGAAAAACTAAGTCCATTTATAAGTAATATATGGAAAATTTCCCTCTAGATACTAGCTTTTCATCATAAACAAGCTTCTGTCCTAGTTTGGTACAAATCAAGGATAGTTTAAGAAAGTTATTAAAAATTTTAAAACTTTAACCACAGAGTGAATGTAATGTTAACTGGCAGAAAAACTAAGTCCATTTATAAGTAAAATACGGAAAAACAGGATTTTTTTTTTTACAAAATTTACTTCTGGATACTATCTTATGACCATAAACAAGCTTCTGTCCAAGTTTGGTAGAAATCCAGGATAGTTTAAGAAAGTTATTAAAATTTCAAAAACTTTAACCATAGAGTGAATATTTGTGGACGCTGCCGACACCGCTGATGGAATGTAGGATCGCTATGTCTTGCTTTTGCGACAAAAGTCACAGGCTCGACAATAAATCAATGAAACATATGAAATATAGGTCAGATTCATACATTTGTTATTGGATACTACTCTACTCTTCTAGATTCTTGTATGTGCTTGAGTTACTTAGTATCTGATAATGGACTCAGACATAAAACTTATTAATCAGTAAAGCATCAATGCAGGTCATAGTGACTTATTTTCTATTCAAGTCTTTTTATACTCCTCAAGAAGCATCCTTATACCAAGTTATAAGATTGTAGGTTACTAAGTCTATGAGAGGAACTTGTATGTTAAACTTAATACTAGGAAAATAAATCAATGAAGTGTAAAATGTAGGTCAAAAAGACATATGGTGTGCTGCTATACTGTAAAGGTGTGCTGCTGTACTGTAAAATAATGAATGTAGAATACAAGGAAGAGTAACACATTATTTATTGGATGCTGTTATATTATCTAAGATAGATCGATTAAAAAAGCTTCAATGAAACATGAAACTAAGCATTAATATTCAATAACATGTAAAATGAATGTCAGAGTGATCTATTTTAGTGACACCTGCTTTACTATGAATAACGGAAAAAGATATAGTTCAGAGTAACATATTTTTGTAGAATTCTGCTATATCACCCTTTATCGCTATTTTACGAAATTTTCCTTTGATCTTGCTGACTGATAATTTCCTTTCTCAGCGGAGTCGAGTGATATGAAAATTATCGCTAGAAACTAAGGGGGCATGTGGCGTTGCTAATGAAATTGACATGAAATTGACAATGTCATCATAGGTAAAATAGCGATAAACAGATTATCATTGGTCATCTCAACTCAATTGATTTTCTCACTTTCGCCGTACCGGCTCAAGCGAGAAAATCAATCTCGTTGAGATGATCAACGATAATCTATAAATATACATCCCAACATATATAAAGCTATAAGATTGTAAGCCACTTAGAAGCTGATGATTGAATGTGGATGTATAATGGAACTATTTTATTTAAATAGAGTATTAATACATAATACGTTTTGGAATGCTGGTCAGTAGTTACTCGGGGACACTCGCATGTCTAGGTTTTTAACCAATCAGCAATGGGGTTTCCCAGTCACTGCCGCATGTGCTTCTCGTTTACTAATTGTTTTTCGAGATCATACTAATTAACCAATGAGATTCATAGCTAATTTTTAATTAACCAATCAGCGCTTAATTAGCCGGGCTTTTGTTTTATGCACACAGGCTCAACTATTCCTAAAGCAACGCTTGCTTGCAGCAGCCATTATTATTTTACTTAATACAAGTCAAAGAAGCATAAAATGTAGGTCTAAGTGATTAACTATATGTGGGATGTTGCTATACTCCCTGACACACATCCATATACAAAGTTATAAGATTGTATGTCATTTAGCATTTAAAAACAGAAATGTTATGTAACCCTTAATATAAATCAGTAAAGCATAAAATGTAGGTGCAGTTAACCTTTATAGTGGGAGGTTGGTATACTTCCAAAGCAGCATCCATCCACAAAACTCTTAGTTAATTTGGTAATAGTAGAAAAATGAACTCAGATGTAAGATTTAATGTTAGTCAATAAAGCACAAAATGTGAAACTACTTTTCATGGGAGGTCTTTATACCTAATTTGATGCCTTCATTAAACAATTAATACGATTGTAGGTCAACCTGTATCTGAGAACTGAACTTAGATATAAAACTTAAATATAGTATAAAGCCAATGAACCATGGAATAAGGGTCTTGTGAACTCCATCTTCAGTCACATGGTCAGTCACTCCAAGATGCAAATATATATTTATAACATGTCTGTTTGTTTATAAGTGTCTGATATTAAGTGACTGATTACACAAATGTGGATACAGACTCTGATGGAACTCCAATGGTTTCCCGTAAATACAAATGACAAAGCATTTAATAAAAATTCAGAATTATTCAAATTTAACCTCAAACAATTATCAAAACATCATATGTTGCAACCTTTTTTCGACTGTCAATATACAATTAAAGCTGTTAAGAAATGAAAAGAGAGTTACCATACTTGGTCGACTGAGTGGTGTCCGGGGTTTTGATACATTATCTCCTTCCTTTATCTCTCCAGGTTCCACTTCAGTGTCTGCCATGATTATTTTCCCAACAGTTATAATAAATCTTAGTGACAACAAGGCATTTGGATATGGGCTGTATGCTTCTTGACATTCAGATAAACCTGAGAAAAATAAAAATAAAATGAATATGTAACAAAACTATTAATATAATTATTTTGAGAAAATTTCTCTGCAACTTCAAAATACAATATTCACTTGACTATCCATAAACAGTCAGAAATATTCTTGTTTTTCAGTATAAAATGAACAACCTTAGCAAGTAAATTCACTACATTTCCTACCTTCTTCAGTCAAGAAAAAATTCAAAAGAGATAAATCTTGCTGCAGTATGAAAATATTCTCCTTTTCTTCTTGAATCAACTTGTAATTTTGATGTGATAGCAGAGGGCCTTTAATTATCGTTCCTCAAATCCCAAGCCTTGGTGGCAGAGTGGTTTAAGAAGTCGAACTACTGTATCACTAGCCAGTGAACACTGAGGTTGTGAGTTCGAATCCCGCACAGGCAGGTGCACTCGACTCCAATCTTAATTGACTAGGATTGTTAGTTTTCCTACCAAAGGTAGGTGGTTCTCTCCGGGCACTCTGGCTTCCTCCAACAATAAAAAAAACCACCACGAAATAGCACAATAGTTGTTGAAAGTGGCATTAAACACCAATCAATCAATCAAAACCTCAAAAATGTTCTAAGATTCCCATTTTTCTGTTAATCCTGTTTCAAACTACTACATTCAATCATGCTTTAAGGATAGAGAAGTTTTAAATTTGTGGAGGGTTCTGAGTTAGTATAAAAGTGTAATGTTGACTTGCAAAACAACTTAGAATAATTATCAGTAAAATACAGAATATGAATTAGAAAACTGACACATCAGGAAGGCCCTCGTTTGCACATTTTTGTGTGAGGAACAGAAACAAATGATTAAAACTGATGCAAACAAAGCAATACATTTCATTGGGTATAAATTTTTTGTCAAGTTTTACAATACAAAACAATTTAGGATGTGATAACGAAAATATGAAGTTTCAATAATATCTGAGAACTATGAATTCTTTTATGTATTTCTGCATCCAATTAGAAAATAGAGGGAGACGGATAGTTTTTCACACAGGGTAACTTAAGAATAGCATAACATCCACATATTATGTACAACTGTGCTCACTTTCATTGGAGTCAAACCCATACTAAGAAATAAAATGTCATTGAAGTGAAAAAAAGTAAACATGCAGTTTAAGGCTTACCATCTAAATATGTAAAGAGTCTGTTTTTAAACTCGTTTTGTCCTTGGAGTTGTCCTGCCATGTGATGGTAAAACAATCGGGTGAAAGCCAGTTGTCCCATCTGTAATTCGAAAATTCATTCTTAAGTTAGAGAAAAACATCTCCTAAAAATGCTATAGCAAGTGAAAGGAATACAGTTTGAATTAAAATACTTTTTAATTAGATGACTTTTATGTCTATATATATGCATATCTCCATATATGAAATTGTGTCCACTTGGACCTAAATAATAAACTAAATTAAAGTCTGCCTAAAATGTGTTTTTATTAGAGAATAGAATTAGAGAGCCTGTCATAAAAATCACTAACACAAATAATATGGACCCATATGTGAAGCATCATAAATGGAGACTCAAACTACAGTTAACCTTCATGGTCTCGAACTCGGTTGAGTTGAAAGTTCAGATGAGTCGAAATTTTTCTGTGGTCCCGAAACTTTGTTCCATACAAATATATGTTTTTTGACTCCTGATGAGTCCAAATTGGATGAGTTGAAATTTCGGTTGTGTAGAACCAAAGTTACCGTCCCAAGGCTGGCAAAAGCATATAAATGGCATTAGTTGTGTTGAAGTAATACACATATGTCAAAACATCACCTCAGGGATTTAAATGGATTGACCAGTTTATCTGACAAGTGACAACACACCTGTGTAATTAAATTTCCGGTCATTGACAACTGTTTTGATTTATGACATTCTTTTCAACTACTAAATCACCGTCTTTAATCTTTTGTATTCTCTCGGAGAAAATATCTAAATAAAAGAAAATGAAAAGAAATCAAAATTTTCTAAACATCTGAGAAATTAATAACCTGTGTTATATTTAAGATTTGTGTTGTTTCATTTCAACACGCCTTTGAAGCAATGTCAAAAATTATTCTCACGGCCAAAAACCACCGGAAAATTGTAACTATTCAAAGAAATAACAAAGAGACAAAAAAAACTTAATTTTCTTATAATTATATCGATCCCGACTCATATATATATATGAATCGGGATCGATATAATATATATATCGATTCCTAACATCACTGAAGAGACATTAATTGTCGAAATCCGGATATGGTGTACAAAATTTTGCACCTGATGTTTGCGGTATACCATCTTTTCCGCAAGTTTATTGTTTTCTGTTTGGTAATAAATTAATTATATTATCCATTTTGTTACATCTTTTGATCCGTTTATTTGGCAATCGCCAATGGCAGTCAGCAGGGTTTAAGAACATCAGTTGTTTTCAACCTGCTAGTCAAATGCGTTTTGTTAAAATATCCTTTGTCACTTTTTTGGTCTTTTGGAAAATGTTGTTTGTGCTGTATTTAGACCCCTCTACAAAGAAATTTGTTTTGCATGCACACGTATAAAAATTGCGGTTTTTATCCAACGCAATCAAAGGTTTGAACGTTGTTTTCAATTTAGACTTGTATATATATATATATATATATATATACAAGTCTAAATTGAAAACAACGTATATATATATATATATACAAGTCTAAATTGAAAACAACGTTCAAACCTATGATTGCGTTGGATAAAAACCGCAATTTTTATACGTGTGCATGCAAAACAAATTTCTTAGATGAGGGGTCTAAAGACAGCACAAACAACATTTTCCAAAAGTCCAAAAAAGTGAAAAAGTATATTTTAACAAAACGCATTTGACTAGCAGGTCGAACAACGGATGTTCTTAAACCCTGCTGACTGCCATGGCGATTGCCATATATATATATATATGGATTTATCTTAGCCTTACCAAGCTAAACAAGAGTTTTGTCCCTTTGTCTGTCAAAAATAAACTTCCGGTATTCTTTTGAGTCAAAAAATGGGTATCTCGAAATATTTCTCTGATCCGACTGACTTCGAGATAATGAGAGTCGACTAGATCTAGAGGTGTTTTTTATTTTTTATTCAAATACAGTAAATTCAGTGTATTTATTTTTTATTTATTATTGTGATTGTTGAAAAATGAAAAAAAGTGCTAGGTTACCAGTAATAGTTTTGTTTTTAGGAAATTCTGCATATAAATGATGCTATAATAATTAAAATTGGGAGTTTTTATTTTTGTGAAACTTATATGCTGTCCTCATTTTCGCAATATAAAAAAAAAAACATCACAAAATTTTTTAAATTATTTGTATCATTGATATGTCATAAGTGAAGTCTACAGGCATCAATTCCTATTTCCAAATAAAAAAATCATTAGTCAAAAAATCCTCAGGAACATTGCCTTGTCAAGCTTTAATAAACAAGTCTAAACCAAAATTTGGAAATAATTAAACAAATGCAATGATATGATTGGAGGAGCAGATATTTTTTCTTCATTTATAATAATTTACCATTTATTTCTCCCAATTCGTTTGTATAGCTTTAACTCAAACAAGGCTAAAAAACATGCACCAGTAGTAGAAAATGAGAAAGAATAACAAGGATAAAAGTGGATCAAGCCCAATCTCCTCCTGTCCATCCTGGTCCCAAATTTGCATAGAACAATGTGGATCAAGCCTGATCACTTCCAGTCCATCATGCTCCCGCATTAGCAGAGAACAATGTGGTTCAAGCCCAATCTCTTCCTGCCCATCATGGTCCCACATTCATATAAAACAATGTGGATTAAGCTTAATCTCTTCCTGCCCATTATGGTCCCACATTAGCAAAGAACAATTTGGATCAAGCCCAATCTCTTCCTGTCCATTCTGGTCTTGCAGTAGTATACCCGGTAGCAAAATGTGGATCAAGCCTAATCTCTTCCTACCCATCCTAGTCCCCTAGTAGTATAGAACAATGTGGATCAAGCCTAAGCTCTTCCTGCCCATCCTGGTCCCCTAGTAGTATGGAATTATGTGGAACAAACAAATCTCTTCCTGCCCATCCTTTTCCTCAAGCAGTATAGAACAATGTGGATTAAGCTTAATCTCTTCCTGCCCATCATGGTCCCTCAATTAGCATAGAACAATGTGGATCAAGCCCAATCTCTTCCTGCCCATCCTGGTCTCGCAGTAGTATAGAACAAAATAGATCAAGCCCAATCTCTGCCAGCCCATCCTGGTCCCGCATTAGTATAGATCATTGTGGATCGAGCCCATTCTCTTCCTTCACAACAAAGTCCCCCAGTGGTATAGAACAAGGTGAATAAAACCCATTCTCTTCTTGCCCATCCAGGTCCCACATAAGCATAGAATAATGTGCATCAAGCCCAATCTTCCTCTCCATTCTAGTACCCCAGTAGAATAGAACAATCTCTTCCTGCCCATCTTGGTCCCCAAGTATTATAGATCAATGTGGATCAATCCCATTCTCTTCCTGCCCGTCCAGGTCCACAGTAGTATAGAATAATGTGGATCAAACCCAAATCTCTTCCTGCCCATTCTGATCCCCCAGTAGTATAGATCAATTTGAATCAAGCCCAATCTCTTCCTGCCCATCATGGTACCCCAGTAGTATAGATCAAGCCCAATCTCTTCCTGCCCATCCTGGTCTCTCAGTAGTATAGATCAATGTAGATCAAGCCCAATCTCTTCCTGCCCACCATGGTCCCCCAGTAGTATAGATCAAAATGTGGATCAAGCGCAATCTCTTCCTGCCTACCTAGTCCCCCAGTAGTATAGATCAATGCGGATCAAGCCCAATCTCTTCCTGCCCATCCTGGTCTCGCAGTACTTTAAAACAATGTGAATCAAGCCCAATCTCTTCCTGCCCATCATGGTCCCCCAGTAATATAGAACAATGTGGATCAAGCCAAGTCTCTTCCTGCCTACCTGGTCCCCAGTAGTATACTGTGAAAGTACTTTTATTCGTGGGGTACCAATTTTCGTGGTTTTCGTGGATGGCTTTAAGTGTCCAACGAAATATAAGAACTGTTGTCCAAATCAGGACATGAAAAGCTCCCCATTACAGTAGTTGACTACATATATCAGCAAACACACTATGAACTAAAGATGCAACTTCAGACAGGATTCTGTCCATTTAATCTTTTAAAAATCTAAACTGTACGACTTTTCACCTTTTAATTCTCACGAAAAAATTAAGTTTTGATCGATAAACGTCAGACTTCCGCTGATGATATGCGATGATGAAGTGTTTATTTCATATCCACATCATTTTCATACGAAAAATAAATAATTTCATAAGAATTGATTCTACAAGTCAATGTACATTTGTAGCTTTGTTATGTACCGGTAACCGTTTTCCTTAAGTGACATGTTTATAGCCCAATTACCACCTTTGGTGACCGTTAATCTGTTGATCAAACAATATCAGGTTAATTAGTGGCATCACACGTGTGCAACAATTAAAATGATTACGTTTCAATTTCCTAAAATCGAGAAATTTGTAGGGATAGATGAATCAGCTTATTTCAGAAAGCAATTATCTTATTAAAAGTTTGATGAATGTTGTCAGTAATGAAAGATGAACAAGTAGGTGTAAACGAACACCTTATTTTGCAATGTCCCAGAAATTATTTTAAAACAACGCATGATTATGTTTTCAGGAGTTTTCGTTTTACATGGCTTCAAATTCTTCATCCAATTGTTTTTCTTTTAAATAAATGTGGATTGTGTCCACATGTGGACACAGATGATGCCCCTGCTTGCATATCATAGAGTTATAAAGGGACATAACTGAAGACCGGTAAAAGTGATGCTACCCAAATTTGAACTTGATCCGAGTTTTGTGGTAATAAGCATTGTGTGTAAGTCTCATAACATTTGGTTGAAGCTAATTTAAGTAGAGAACAGAAACGAAGCAATTTTTCTATTTGTAAACACGCATAACTCTAGAACGGTTAATTGTGTATAAGTTTTATAACATTTGGTTGAGACAAACTAAAGTTAGAGAACGGAAACGAAAAATTCAGCAATTTTTATGTTTATAAAGGGACATAACTCAAGAATGGTAAAAGTGACGCCACCGAATTTCGTACTTAATCTGTATTATGTAGTAATAGCATTGGGTATAAGTTTCATAACATTTGGTTGAGGCAAACTAAAGTTAGAGAAAGGAAACAATATTTGTACTTGATCTTAGTTTTGTGGTAATGAGTTTTGTGTATAGGTTTCATAATGTTTGGTTAGGGCAAACTTAAGTTACAGAATGGAAACTAAAAAATTTGCAATTTTTCGATTTATAAAGGGGCATAACTCAATATTGGTTAAAGTGATACTAGCCAAATTCAACTCGATCTGTGTTTTAACAGTTGAAGGCAAAATTAAACATTGCATTTGTAAAGCATTGATTGTAGTTGATTTAACTAAAATCATGGACAAAGGAAGATAACTCCAATTTAAAAAATTACTTGAATAATGACATTGATATTTTTGGAAAAAAAATGAAAAATTGCTATTTCCATTTGTAAAGGGGCATAACTCTAGAACAGTAAAAGTGACGCCCCCAAAATTCAAACTTGATCTGTGTATTGTGGTAATAAGCATTGTGTATAATTTTGATAACATTTGGATGAGGCAAACTTAATTTAGAGAATAGAAATGAAAAAATTTGCAATTTTTCCATTTATAAAGGGGCATAACTCTAGAACGGTTAAAGTGACGCCACCAAAATTCAATCTTGATTTGTGTTTTGTGGTAATAAACATTGTGTATAAGTTTGATAACATTTAGTTGAGGCAAACTTAAGTTAAAGAACTGAAACCAATTTTGGGACAAATTTAAGAACCCACGAACATGCAACTTTTGCTCAAACCACAAAAATTGATACCCACGAATAAAAGTACTTTCACAGTAGATCAATGTGGATCAAGCCCATTCTCTACCTGCCCATCCTGTTACCCCAGTAGTATAGAACAATGTGGATCAAGCCCAATCTTTTCCTGCCTATCCTGATCTTGTAGATATATAGTACAATTCGGATCAAGCCTAATCTCTTCCTGCCCATCTTGGTCCCCCAGTGATATAGAACAATGTGGATCAAGCACAATCTTTTCCTGCCCATCCTGATCTTGTAGTAATATAGTACAATTCGGATCAAGCCCAATCTCTTCCTGCCCATCTTGGTCCCCCAGTGATATAGAACAATTTTGATCAAGCCCAATCTTTCCCTTGCCATCCTGATCTTGCAGTAGTATAGTACAATTAGGATCAAGCCCAATCATTAACATAACTGAGATAAATACATCTTATAATTAATCTTGACCACTTAGCCCTACCTTTAAAAGTTTAATTTCTCCTGTTCTAAGATATGGTTGATGAACAGCATCTGTCCTGAGCCAGTATAACATTGTCTCTGCCAGAAAAAACAAAGCTGGGATGTGAAATCTCTCTAGAGGTGACTGGTCAAGTGTGGTTATCAATACATCTAGACATTCTACAATTTAGAAAATTTTCAATTGACAGTTAATATTATGATATACGATTTATACTATTCAAAGCCAGGAAGCAGAATTTCTGGATTAGCCTTTACCCAGTATAATTAATTTCAATAATGGATAAATAGTTATAAATACCACTTATTATACTATTGTCATTAACGAATAATGTTGATCTTGAAAAATATAAAACTAATTTAGTTTTATCTTATTATCTTTTTCAGTTTCAGTATCTAATTATCTTTTTATCCATAAAACTCTCTCTTCAATCTTCAAAACATTTTTTTTCCAATAAATATCATTTTACCATCTTTTTGATATAGACTCTTACTTAATCCAAATAAACAGCAACTCAATTTATATATATTATACAAGATGTAATCTTTATTGGTTTTTATTAAATGGTCTTCAATGTCCTTTTTGTTAGTCCTCAAGAAGCTTGTGTTGTCATATCTTAAATGTTTTACCTTATTTGGTAGATCTATGATAGTCTCTGTTTAATTTATTTACAACTGTTTTCTCTCGACTGAAGTGATGTAAGGAGTGACATATTGTATGGACACCAGCAAGATTTCTAAATATAGTTTTCAGAAAAATTCTTTGTGCAAGTTAATGCAAAATGAGATGTTGTACGTGTTAATTTTGATTGCTTATCAATCCATTTCAAGTCCATGTTTTTGCTGCAATATAGCCTTTTTGTGCTGAGGTGGCGTAAACCAAACACCAATTAATATTCAATCAATCAATAACTTATCTCTATCTGAATCAAATCTAACATAAATAAAAAATAATATTTAATCTAGTTGCATTTGAAATCAACAATTTTGTGACTGTAAAATAATAGTCAAAAAATATTGTTTTGCTAACCAAATACCATGTCCAATGTTAATTTCAACTGCAATTGTCAAATTCCCACTTAATGTTTTAAAACTTAAATACAATAGCTGTCTGTTATGATCTAGTGAACTTACAACCTTACCTTCCTGTATTTTACCCTTACACTGAGCCAACTGAGCTAGCTCAGTCCATGCCATTGGTAAATTTACATATTGTCCTAATCCATTAAGCCGCAAACCAGATCTTCTCTGAAATTTAATAAGAGTATATTATGTAAAATAAATATAACATTCATCGTGAGATGAGTGACTAAGTACTTGCAAACAAAAAGGGGGGAATATAATAAGTGTCATGAAATGTTGCCTACAATTTTAATCAATGGCTACAATGAAGATAGCATTATAATGGGCCATGTCCAACACGTTGACAAGGCAACTTCAAAATTGACTGAACTCAGTATTTACAATTTTTGCTTTGCAGTATGTAATGTGTTGGACATAGACTGGACTAAGTAATTTTACCTTTTGTATCAGAACCTGTATAACGTAGCACTTACATAACATCTTTATTTAAACTGACATACCTAATCTATAAACCTAAACCTGACCCAGTGGAACATGGAATCTAGGTCAAGGTCATATACATAACATATGTCAGACAAACAATTCCTATTGCAGCAAATCCAAAGAAAAAATTTTGTATTCTAAAGAAAAGACCACACCATTAAATTTACATGACCACTACACATGAGGTCTCGTCATGAAATACTTTCATACAAGTTTTTTTCATCTTTGGTAAAGCGGAAATAAGCAATTGATGTTATATCCAAATTGTAAACCCTGCTATCACCACTGCCAGATGAAACCATTTTCCTATGACTAGCCTACTGTGAAAGATCAATGCAGGCAAGACAAAAAAATGCAACATAAATAAAAAATTCGTAAGGGTTCCACGGAACCCAGTGTCTCGCCTACTTTTTCTGTTAATCGCAGGCTCAACAAAAATGAGGGAGTAAATCAATAAAAATATTCCTCTAAATACTATCTTTTGATTATAAGAAGCTTCTGTCCAAGTTTGGTAAAAATCCAGGATAGTTTATGAATCTAATAAATGTTTAAAAACTTTAACTGCAGACTGAATGTAATGTTAACTGGAAGAAAACAAAATTTCCTTCTAGATACTAGCATTTGATCATAAACAAGCTTCTGTTAAAGTTTGGTACAAATCCAAAATAGTATAAGAAAGTTATTAAAATTTGAAAAACTTTAACCACAGAGTGAATGTGTTGTTTCCTGACAGAAAATCTAAGTCCATTTAAAAGTAAAATACGCAAAAAATGGATTTATTATTTTACAAAATTTCCTTCTAGATACTAGCTTTTGATCATAAACAAGCTTCTGTCCAAGTTTGGTACAAATCCAAAATAGTATAAGAAAGTTATTAAAATTTTAAAAACTTTAACCACAGAGTGAATGTGTTGTTTCCTGGCAGAAAATCTAAGTCCATTTAAAAGTAAAATACGCAAAAAATGGATTTATTATTTTACAAAATTTCCTTCTAGATACTATCTTATGATCATAAACAAGCTTCTGTCCAAGTTTGGTAGAAACCCAGGATAGTTTAAGAAAGTTATTAAAATTTTAAAAACTTTAACCACAGAGTGAATGTAATATTTCCCGGCAGAAAAACTAAGTCCATTTATAAGTAAAATATGGAAAAAATGGAATTTTATTTTTACAAAATTTACTTCTGGATACTATCTTATGATCATAAACAAGCTTCTGTCCAAGTTTGGTAGAAATCCAGGATAGTTTAAGAAAGTTATTAAAATTTCAAAAACTTTAACCACAGAGTGAATATTTGTGGACGCCGCCGAAAACGACGGAGGAATGTAGGATCGCTATGTCTCGCTTTTTCGACTAAAGTCGAAGGCTCGACAAAAAGTTCATTAAAACTTATTATTCTCCTGATAGCTAGAAAAAAACATTGTGAAAGGAAAGCAAGAAAAAAATAACATCCTAATTGGATGAAAACTAAAAAACAATCATGTGATTGTTTATCTCTTATGGTCCCTTATACCTAAGAAACCAATAAATATACCATTAATATGATTGAAGAATGTAGATACTGATTTTCATTAATAAAAATCATAAGACTGCTTTGGGACCTTGTTTAGGAATGAGTGATGCAGTAATTCCAAAAATCATCACCTTTTGTTTTGTGTCTACAGGTTTTATGTTTAAATTTCAAAATATCAGTCAAATTTTAACCATGGCAAGTTACTTTGGTAAAATGTTGTGTCTACCCATATGTCTGACAACCATATGACCACAATAATTTGTGGCTGTATTAAAAAGAAATTCTTGAAATTACTTTTGTGTTTTTGTTGTTGTGATGAGGGATGTATAAATTCCCTGCCATGTCGAGTCTGTGTTTTTGTTAGTTATTTTTCTACTTTGTATAGATCTGATGAGTTAATCCCTTTTCAACTGATTTTTATAGGTTGTTCCTATGTTGTAATGTTACACCACTGTCCCAGGTTAGGGGGAGGGTTTGGGCCAGAAAACATGTTTAACCCCGCCACATTCTGTATGTGCCTGTCCCAAGTCAGGATACTGTAATTCAGTGGTTGTTGTTTATGGCTGTATATCATATTTGTTTTTCATTTGTTTTGTACATAAATTAGGCCATAGTTTTCTCGTTTGAATTGTTTCACATTTATCATTTCAGGGCCTTTTATAGCTTACTATGCGGTATGGGTTTTGCTAATTGTTGAAGGCCATACTGTGACCTTTAATTGTTAACTTCTATGTCATTTGTCTCTGGTGGCGAGTTGTCTCATTGGCAATCATACCACATCTTCTTATTTTTATATTGAATCCTTTTAACATGTTTAATGTCATGTTGAAGTTTTCTTGCTTTGATGTATGCAATATAAATTTTAAATCTATGGATGACAAATTTAGATATTCTGTTACTGAACATCTAATGGAATATAATTAACTGATGAAGATCAGCATTTTACTTTGTGATTTTCTTAATTTACATTTAACAGGCAAAAAACCCTTATCATTTGCAGGATGAATTGGTTAAAATGTTTCGTCTGAGCATCCAAATATCAGTGGGTAAATTTAGAGGCACGATAGGTTAATGTCTACCAATATAAAAATAACAAGATGTGGTATGATTGCCATTGAGACAACTATCCACCAAAGATCAAATGACAAGGATGTAACATCAGCCTTTGATCATTTGAACACAGTTTAAGACATTTCTATTTCTGTACACATCAAAAACATTACCTTGGATCTTTCCAACATTTTATGAGCTGTAGCCTCGTATTTCTCTCTCTCATCCAATGTTTTAGCATTGTTATACTGATATACAAATTCCTCTGTAACTTCTAATGGATTACGACTGAAAATTATATAACTTTTTATCTAATACCCATAATTCTGAGAAATAAATTTTAAGTAAACACCGCAGTGAAAGAAAAAAGCAGAATAAAGATTTGACATAAAATATGTTCTTACAGCAACACAATTTACATTTTGAATTTGTGAATTTCTGGTTAAAGTTCAACATATTCATTACTAGCTAAAACCAATAGCCCATTGCATTTTTTCAGTTTTGTTTGTCACATAATGTTTTTGTGTACTTATTTTGATATTTTCACAGTACATGTATTATGACAATAAATATTTCATTGTCAAGTTTGTAAACACATTGCAATCACTCCTATAAAGAGTGACAGTCTACTAACTATATCGTCAAAATTTGACTTGTTAGTAGATCTTGCCTTGCTGATCATTTTTGTGATTTAAAGTGTCTACTTATCTAAAATGGTAAAAATCGTCATTAAAGAGCAGAAACTCTTATAAGGAGTTGTCGGATGATTTTCTCAAAATAGTCTTAATTGTTGATTTTGTCTTGCTGATCATTTTGGCTTATTTAAGTTTCTATCTATCTATTATATTTTTAAAGACATAAGGCAAAAACGCAAAAATTTGGTAAAAATCGTCATCAAAGGGCAATAACTCTAATAAGGAGTCGACTATGATTTCGACAATGATGACTTATTTGTAGCACTTGTCTTGCTGGTCATTTATGCAATTCAAAGTTTCTCTCTATCTATTACAGTTTTAAAGATAATAGGCAAAAATGAAGAAAAAAATGGTAAAATATGTCATTTAAGGCCAATAACTCCTATAAGAAGTCGTCTGACAGTTTTGATGTATATGAACAATTGGTAGAGCTCAACATTCTGAACATTTCTGCACCTGTCAGATATTCTCCATTTATAACGGTTTTCAAAATAATAGACAAAACTTGCAAAATGGTAAAATTCATCATTAAAGGGCAATAACTCCTATAAAGAGTTGACTGACAATTTTGTCCATGTAAATATCTATCTACCTATTATAGTGTTCAATATATTAAATAGGCATTGAAAAAAGCAAATACATAGTAAAAACTGTCCTTTAACGGCAATAGCTCCTACAAGGAGAGTTGATTGAGGATTTTGGCCATGTTGACTTATTTCTAGATCTTGTATTGTTGATCATTTTTGCTATTTAAATTCCTATCTACAGGCATTTATTTTAGTTTTCAAGATAATAGGCAAAAATGCAAAAAATGGTAAAATTTGTCATTTTAAAATTTGCACTAACACCTATAAAGAGTTGATTAATGATTTCAGCAATATCAGTTACTTGGTACATCTTGTCTTGTGGATCATTAATGATATTCATAGTCTCTCTCTTTCTGTTTAAGTTTCAAAATAATATGCAAAAATTAAAAAAAACTTTAAAATTGTCCTTTAAGAGCAATAACTCCTATTAGATTTGACTGAGGAATTTGACTTATTTTTAGATCTATCTTTTCTTGTTGATCATTTTTACAAAAAAATACGCCAAGTGACGAAAATAGCTATCTTGGTCCTTTAGGTCTTGGTCAAAATTTGGTACTGATTCAACTCAAATTGTATTAATAGATCTGCACTGTATGAGCATATCAATGTAACAAATATAAGATAAAAGGTTAATCTTCCAATGTTATATAACATATTGTAAGCAAACTTAAATTAAGTGTGCATATTCATTTTTTGTGAAAAATAATGCAAATATATGTCGTATCAAACATTATCAAATATGTTAATGTTGTATCTCCCCTTTTATAAATATACATCAACAAAGTTTGAAAACTATTAAAATAAATTGCAGCAAAGTCAGAAAGATAGGACTTAATATGAAATTTGGTATCTGCAAGAATAAGTTGCATTACAGTACTTTCTAACAATAAATATTCTACCTTGTTTGTATAACTTTTTGACTTTCAACACTCTGCAGGTAAGACTGTTTGAGTAAACGTTCCTGTAACTCTAGTCTTTGACTATGTGATATTATACCAAACTTGTGAACAATTGGAATCTTTGTGATTGGCATGGTTTTGATTTACAGTATTCTGGAAAAAATAACATATTTTTAAATTATTATTCATTTTGTTTACTCACAATGTTTAATCATGTTTAACATTTATTAAATATGATTGTTCAATTGATTTTTGCTTTCTTAATGTCAAGTTGCAAAAGTTTTATGCTTATTCAGAACCAGAACAGATTAAATATCAATACATTCAGTAGATTCTGCAAAATTGTAAATCACCCAGGATGAGGATCTGCTAACCAGCAAGTTTGGAATGCCCCTGTATATGAGGGTATGTTGGATAGGGCCACAAATTCAGCCTTGCATAAGGCTAACTATGGACCCTTTAAATAAAGAAGAAGAAAAACATCCCATAAAACTGCAGTTATTTACAGCCAGACTAACAAGGCTACATTATTCTTTTTTAAAGGTAGAATGGTGCATACAACATTTCTTACTTTTGATTGGACTAAATCAAAAATAACAAAAAAATTCACAATGATCCTACATTTTGTATGTCCTGTCTTCTTTTATTTTGGCAATGCACACAGTCATGTGTTTCTAAGACTATGAGGTCTTTATACTAAATCTGTTGGATGTGTACTGATTGATACTCTAGTCTGGGAGAACATGATTTATCTATTAGTTGTAATTGGCTGTGAACTAGCTTTCAGTAACTGTGAGTACTCTTATATCGGTGCTTTGTGTCTATTGTTTTAATGTTAGTTGTTTTTGTGCTCCATGCAAATCTATTCAGTTAGCCAATTGCAACTGATTTTTACAGTTTGTTCTTGTGTTATGTGGTTACAGCACTGTTTCAGGTTAGGGGAGGGTTGAGTGCTCACAAAAATTTTTGACCCATACAAATAAAGTCTCCTGTTTAACCTTTTATCCCACTTCTATGTTGAGCAAGCGGTAATGTGGATATTTCTTTTTGAGAAACAATTCATTTTGGGGTCCTCTTCACGGTCTGAGTTTAAAACAATGTCAATTGCTTTGAAAAATCAGAGACAATGCTTTGGATTTAAACAACTAAAGCTTCAACTGCAGGGTGTAAATTGCAGGATAAATCCAGTATATGTACATTGTCGGATATATAAAATGTATTTGTACTCACTACAAAACAGGAGAAAAGCTAGGCGAACCTTGCCTTTCGTCCTGTTTCTACAACTTGTACAAATACATTTTAAATTTTCTGACAATGTACAAATATTGTATATGTCTTTGGTTCATGTCTGTCATATTTGTTGTGTTTTTTTTGGTTATTGTATTGTTATAAGTTAGGTCGTTATTTTTCTTGTTTGAATTGTTTCTAATTTTTCAGGTCCTTTTATAGCTGACTATACCTTTTGGGTTTCTCATTGTTGAAGGCTCTAAGGCGATCTATAATTGTTTCATTGGAATTCTGGTGGTCTCATTGGCAATCATACCACATCTCCTTATTTCTATAAAAAGGTATTAACATAGACTCCCTTGTAAAAAAGAGACATATAACAAAAACAAACATCCAAGAATGTCAAAATGTGCTCACTACTGCAGGAAGCTATCACAGTACCAGATAGCTACAGCTATTAGTTAGATACTGCCAACCAAGATAAAATAAAATGCTCTGCTGAGCGCAGCTTGATACGACCGCAGAGGCCGAACCCTGAACAGTGGGGGGCAAGAATGGACACAACATTCAAGCTTGATACACACTGAATTTGGATTGTGATTAAATATTTGACACAGCATAGGTTTCTGACACGGAATAAATGTGGTCTAAGAACTTATAAATTTTTAATTTACCTATTCAAACCATATCATTATTATTTGCTTTTATATATTTAAATCAGAAATAACCAATTTAAAATGGAAAATTTTAAAGAAAAAAAATCCCTCCTCCCAAATTTTTTGAACCCCCTTATGATTCATCACCCCCAAACTCAATCCCAGCTTTCCCTTTGTGGTATGGTACCTTGCAGTACAATTTCAGAGCGATCCATACACTTGAACACAAGCTATTATCTGGAAACTAGAAAAATGCTTGTTTTTTGTCCCCTTTTTGGCCCCAAATTCTTAACGTTTTGGGCAATTACCCCCAAACTCAAACCCAGCTTTCCCTTTGTGATATGGAACCTTGTAGTACAATTTCATAAAGATCCATACACTTACACACAAGTAATTGTCATGAAACTAGAAAAATGCTTGATTTTGGCCCCTAATTCCTAAAAATTTGAGGTAATTACCCCCAAAATCTATCCCAGCCTTCCCTTTGTGGTATGATACCTTGCAGTACAATTTCAGAGAGATCCATACACTTGAACACAAGTTATTGTCTGGAAACTAGAAAAATGCTTATTTTTGGCCCCTTATTCCTAAACGTTTTGGGCAATTGCCCCCAAACTCAATTCCAGCTTTCCCTTTGTGATATGGAACCTTGTCGTACAATTTCATAAAGATCCATACACTTACACACAAGTTATTGTCCTGAAACTAGAAAAATGCCTGTTTTTTGCCCCTTTTTAGGCCCCTAATTCCAAAAACTTTGAGGCAATTACCGCGAAAATCAATCCCAGCATTCCCTTTGTGATATGGAACCTTGTGGTACAATGTCAGAGAGATCCATACACTAACATACAAGTTTTGTCTGGAAGTTACAAAAATGCTTATTTTTGGCCCCTAATTCCTTAACTGTTGGTACCATAACCCCCAAAATCAATCCCAACCTTCCTTTTGTGATATTGAACCTTATGGTAAAATTTCATAGAGATCCATTCACTTAAACTAAAGTTAGAGTGCGAAAACCAATGTGTCTTCGGACGACAACGACGCCAACGTCATACCAATATACGACCGCCAAATTTTTTTGCAGTCATATAAAAAGAAGAAATAAATGGAAAATGTGTCCATGGAACACAGATGATGCCCCCTCTTGCATACAACATTATAAAGGGACTTAACTCAAGAACAGTAAAAGTGACACCACCCAAATTCAAACTTGATCTGAGTTTTGTGGTAATAAGCATTGTGAGGCAAATTCAAATTATAGAAAGGAAACAAAAAATTAAGTAATTTTTCCATTTGTAAAGGGGAATAACTCTAGAACGGTAAAAGTGATGCAACCCAAATTTGAACTTGATCTGTGTTTTGTGGTAATAAGCATTGTGTATAAGTTTCATAAAATTTGGTTGAGGCAAACTAAAGTTAGAGAACCGAAACCAATTTTGGGACGTACATACAGACAAAGGTAATACTTAATGCCCCCTCCAGTGGCGGCAGGGGCATAAAAATTAAAAACAACACTTCTAACAGGTAAGTTTCATGAAGAATGATCATAAAATTTAATTGGAATTGGCAGAAAGAACCACTTTTATTGACAAATGACTGAAGAAACGATTCAATTACACCTCATCTGAAATTAAGAAATTTTCCAGAGCTTAAAACATGTAAAAACATCATTTTCCGAGTGTTATATTTTTTTAACAAAGTATTAAACAGTCTGTGAACCGATTGAAAAAGCATGCAATATTTGTTAATTGTTAATGTCCACAAAAACAATTTACACATCATTTGATGAAATAAAACAAACAAAAAACTGTGACTAGATAGCAAGCAGGTTCTACATATAATATTCATCATCCAATAACACAACACTATGAAGTAAATATACATTGATTGACATGTAATTAAAGACATCATTGGTTTTTACCAAAAAGTTGCAAGATGCGTGGCTTCTACATGGAAAACAATGTTGGTGACCTCATCCATTTTTACACCATTGAATTCCTTTAAGAGACAATTTCATGCGATAATATTTCATAGTTTTGGTGTCAAAGCAATGAGTCAAGTTTATGAACATCAAGTTTATACTATTTGTCTGTCAAAATTTAACCTTTATAATAATAATAATAATAATAATAATAAATTCTTTATTTAAAGAGGGTATACACAGTTAGTTACAATTACTAATCTTCCCTGAGGCTCTCATATACAATACAAGTAAAAAAACAATAATAAGAGAAAAAAAGCAAACATACAACACATTAACACATAGTCAGTTCACAATCGTACAGTCATGATAGTTCAGTGTACATGTACCATTAGAACATATAAAACAGTTACTGAGTGCATGTAGTAAATAGATATTATATGCAAATCAAAATCATACATTCTAAAAAAATAAAAGTTGGAATCATTTTAAGACTGAATATTGGGACTGCCTCAAGTATCGTTTTATAATTTGTTTAAAACAAAAAGTGTTTTGCACTTTACGCATTTCATATGGTAGTCCGTTCCATAAAACTGATCCAGAATAAGCAAAATATTTTTTAAACAGTTCAGTTTCTGGCTTAGGAACTATCAAATTACCTTGAGTAACACCCCTTTAAGCACAAGGATTATTAACAGATATATTAAGTTAAAACTTTTGAAGTAGGTACTGTGGTGCTTTTTTCAGCATACATTTAAATAGCAGTAAATATTTGTGGTATTTGATTCTATTTTCTACTGTCATCCATCCAAGTTCTTTAAATAAGGGGCTGATGGGGATAAAGGGTCTGCACGAAGCAAAAAAAAACTCTCACCTCACTGCAAGTTTAAGACAACCCCTAGCACTGGCTTGAACAGAATTCTTTGCAAAAATAAATTTGGATAGACTTTGTAAGATGTAACACCACCTAATGCCCACCAGGAACTCTCTAAAATATTCGAATGTGTAACTTTGACATGACCTCTGGCATTAATTTATCAAGCCATGCCAATCATCAAATTAGGAAAGAACCCAGAATTAATAAATATATAACATAGAAAGTTGTTTAACCAGAAACACATCAACATCATATTGACATGAAATGAAACTCCGGTATGTCATGCTTGTTTTGGGACTTTGTGGTATTTAGATATCATGTGGTTGTTTGTATCGAGATGCTATCAAGATGGCGACATGTAGAAAATTGATTGTCGGATTTAAAAATCCAATTTGATCATATATTTAAGAGAATATAAAAATGTATTTAGCAGTTTCATATACGTCAGGACATCAGTCAAGACAAAGTCGAAGTTGGCCAGGTCAAGTTTTCTAACTCTTAAATTATTTTTTAATTTTTTTTCTTGTATTATTTAAGAAATGTCATCTTGCTTGGTTCCAAATTTAAAGTAAATCCATTTAATAATAAAAAAAAGTAATTAGCATTTTCATATAGGTCAGGACAATCATCAGGACATTAGTGTAACCCTCGACTTGTGTGTGAATGACTTTGGACGTATCGACTTGTGCCAGATACGGTAGGTCTTTTCACCACCAAACACATTAAAATACCATCTAAAACACTTATATTGTTTTCATCTGAACGAGGATGAATATGTTTATACACGTATATATACATAAATTAATAAGAAATGATAACAAGAGAACCAAAAAAGACAGTCTGGCAGGGCTGTTGTCAGAACAGTTAACACTTTCAAGTCTTAACATTTTTTTAAATATAATTATTGTGATAATTTCACATTAAATAAAATGTTTTAACTTATTTGAACAATTTATTTCTAATAATTGAAAAGTAAAGACCATAAGATAATATACAATGAAATACAGACAATGCAAATCCGGAAAAATATTGCTGGATCCGGAAGCGTTTTTTTTTAAATTTTGATTCTCAACTTTAACATCACTAATGCACATAAAAATGTGAAAACATGAGAATAGGATTAATTTTTACTTAATTTAATCGATTTTATTGTTTTATTGTGTAACATTACTGTTTTTCTTAAGGGTTAGTGGTCTTTTTGGGTGTTCGGTGGTGTGCGGTGGTGTTCGGTGGTGAAAAGACAGACCCTGCCAGATAGACATAGGCCAGATCGACACGAAAGCACAGCAAAACTTGTCACAAGTTGATCACCATGACAAGGATTCAACGTTCATAAATCACACAGTTGTAAATAAGGGTGAAAAAAGCATGATGTGTTCAATGAAATTAAAGTGAAGGAAGGTATCTGTAAACTTACAGTTACAAGCTATACACCTTATCGCTATTTAGTCCAATCCGGAAAAAACAGTCATTTAGACAACTTCCTGTTTGGGTCAACAGGCCGCAAACAAAGGTCATCAGTAACGAGCTGAGGGAGGGAAAAATTTAGAAAGCGATCAATAGGAAACTTTGATAGATTATGATCCACTTTTTCCAAACTCAAATTATAGTTAAAACAATATTGTGTTTGAAGTATTTACGATGTTTTGAACAGGTCTCATTAAAAAGTATCATGCATGGTGCATTGTTTAAACAGGGTCCCAGATAGCTTCAACTGGATGAAAAAGTTGTGTAATTTTAAAACTTATCCGGAATGGAATAAATAGCGATTAGGTATATAGTCGACCGTTTAAAAAGTTTAAAGATTGCCGTTCATTCACAAAATTATAGCTTATATACGCATCGTATATATAAATATAAATAAATCTACTGTATTAAGTACTAGTTAGAAGTAACTGAAATTCATAAGACCTACAAAATAACGTGATTTTGTATAGAAAATTAATCCAGCTTCATACGTTTCCCTCCATGATGTTTGTTTCCATAGAACTGCTTCCGGTTTATATCCTACACAAGGAAAACTCCCAAGAGATAAAAATCTAATTCCATTTGGAGATCATCTAGAGTTTCCTTCGAAAAATGTCGATTCGGAGCAAGGTAAATTATGCAGACATCAAGTCAAAGTCAACAGTTTTGTTTAAAGTAGATTTGTTAAATTTACAAATTAACTAAGCTCTGCAAATAAAAATATTTACATTACATTTAAGATAAAACAATACACATAACAGACAATACAAGCATGCAAAACATTTACAAATTACAAACAAAAAGTTTACAAATTCCATCCTGCAACAGGCAAAACATATAAAAAAGATCCCCCCCTCCGAGAACAATAACTGACTGGAGCAAACTACCCGATAACATTATTAAAACTTAATCTCAAAACATCAAATTATACTGTTATTTATACATCAGACCGTACTGCTTACAAGAATTTTGGAATTTACACCCTGCAAACCAGCGAGTCTTTTCACAAAAAATCTTATGATTAAAATTGGTCGTAAGTTATGTGAAAAGAGCCGCAGGTACTTCATATCTGAGAAACAGGCAATATATGCCCTCGATTTTAGAATTCATTCATACATTTTTGTATTATTCAAAATTATCAGTCAATATGAGTTCTACAAGGATCACCAGTCCTTTACCTTTCATCTGATACCTTAATTACTAAAATATATTCTACATACTAACATAGTTGTATATTCACACCTATGCGTAGGAACTATTTTGTTTTAAATATATGTACTACTTTCCAGTATGTTCTTTTTTGACCGGGCCTGATTTGGTGGTGTTACATCTTACAAAGTCTATCCAAATTATTTTTTCGTAGAATTCCCCTCAAGCCAGTGCTAGGGGTCGTCTTAAACTTGCAGTGAGGTGAGAGTTTTTTTTGCTTCTTGTTGAAGACCTCACTGTGACTTTAAGATGAAGAACAGCAATAGAAGCGCTTTTCCTTTGCTTTTTATGTGTTTTTTGCTGAGCATATACTGATTTTGTGACATGGATGGATAACCCATATCCTTTGTTTTTCTATTATACAATGTGTACAAGTGTAAATATGTCTTTTCTTAGAATAACTTAAGCACAAAATAGCTTCAATTGTCTTTCTCAGTTTCTATATCCAAATTTCATAAACCAAACAAGAATTTAATTAATATAATCATCAAAACTATTAAAAAATTTACTTAGTTCTACTAATGAAATAATATATCTATCACTAACATGACTAACATTCAAGTTTTTTCTTTGGGTTGGGGAGTTTGAAAACATCATGCCATGAATTTTTATCGGAATATTTCAACTGACTTTTTTCAAACAAACTTATGGACATACATAAAGATGACAGATTTTAGCTAAAAGATATTAACAATAATAATATTACCTTCAGGAACATTTTGTTGGCTTTAAGATTTTAGCTAAATTTAAAGATATTTACAATAATAATATTACCTTCAGGAACATTTTGTTGGGTTCAAGAAATGTAAAAAGTATAAAGATACATTAAAGAATAAAATTTGTGTCACATGTTTCAGGAAGGAATTAGTTTTTATAGATATATGCCAATTTAAAATATGCTGTCAGATTGCTAATTTTTTTATACAGTGATTTCATAAGATTCAAACAAATACTTTGTGAAATTTTAGTTGAAAGCCAGTTTGGTAACATTTATGATTCAAGTAAACTTGCTAATTTGAAAATCTTATCTTGCTACAGGATTTTTGGCTAGTCAGATATGACATGGGGCGGCACATTGATAGTAACAGCAAATAGAAAATAAAAAAATAACAAATAGCAAAATAAGTAAACAGAAAATATCAGAAAACATACAGCAAAAGAAAATATTGCCCCAGAGGTCACTTGTTACAGGAATAATGACATGGTTAACAAATAAAAGAAGAAAAAAAACACATTAATGCAGGAAGCAGATAAGCTTAACAACCAAAATGCTATCACAAAATTTAAAGCATAAAATTTAAAGGGGCATAAGAAATGAGAGTAATCAGCATGATATTTCAAAATAAACATAAAATAAAGCACTGAAAGATATGAAATATATATATATATATTTATAAGTAGGCTCATAAAACACATCTGCCAATGTTCAATGTAACACAGTGGGGTAAATCGTACAGTATATTTCACCCCAAAATGAAATTTTTGGCACAGAATGGGATCAGTAGAATCCTTATTTGCCATGGCACTGTCAGTTTGTTTTTGACTGTTTGTCCTAAGCTTAATCTGTTAACTGTGCAATTATTCAAAGACTGTGAGTCAAAAGAGTTAATTAATTTCAAATCCAAATTTCGGACTCATCAAGCACTAATTTTAATAGAGCATAAATCATTTTTAAAGATAGCTGACTGGCCCCACTGACACTCGACCCATCTATTCGGAATTTAAACACACAAACCTCCCATTTTGAATATAGCTTGCATCACTGAAATTAAATATAAACTTTAAACTTGCCTGACTCAGACCAAGGAAGTTGCCCCACTGATAATAAGGAGTACCACTGCAACAAGACCAATGATAGATTAAGTGATAATGCATGAGGTATCAATTTGTACAAGTATTGGAAATAATCTATTATTGTTAATTTATTTTAGGTTCTTTCATCTTTCAAGAAATTACACAAGACACGGTTAGAGGTGTTTAGGGAAGATGATAGAGCATTAGCAGGTTAAGTAACTTATTTTTAATGCTATATTCTTAGTCCTAGAAAAAATAGTTATGTTTCTGGGGTAGCAATACACAGTTAGGAAAAAACTTAAAATTGACACTCATAATTTTTAACCACCCTCTTTCCCTTGCTCTAACAAATAAGGCTTAGCGTTTGTGTTATATATGTGCATATGTATGGAAACAGCATCTTCCATAGATTTCATTTCCAATAGTTAAATTGGTGAAATATAATCTCTTTTTGGTGTAACCATGGCAACAATCTGCATTTATTTGATACAAAATATTGCAAAAAGGGGGGTGAAAATGTCACAAAAGTCCCAAAAATTTGGCCCAAAGAAGAATTTCAATCCATTAGAGGGATACCTTTTCTGAAACCATTGACATTTATCTATCAAGAGGTCCTAAAAAAATCATATGCTTAAAATAATTGAAAAGTTTGAGGGTCAAATATTTGTTGAAAAACACTACAATAATTTCTGGACCTATGGGCAGTACCGATGTGAAAATACGGACTGTCAAACAGAAAAATGGTCTATAAAACATGCAAAAAACAATCTTGATGATCATATAAATCCACTTTGAAGGCTTTTTTATTGTTCAGATATCTAAAAATCTATTTTATTGAACAAATACTTTCATATTAAAAAAATTCACCATGGCCAAAATGCGAAACTAAACTGTGTATTGCTACCTTAAGGTGAACATTTTTTTTTCAATTTCCACTTTAAATGGTTTTCTGTGCTCTGCTAGCTAAAACAAGTAAATTGGTCTACTAGTTTTGAAAATTGGTTCAGAAATAAATATTTGATGAAGGTTAGCAGCTATCACTGAAATGCAACAAAAAAGTGATTTGAAGTAACATGCCATATCAAAGTGTAAAATCTCATTTTTTTGTTAAATTTCTAAAACTATTCCCTTTTGTTTCTGACTTTTCATGTTTAAAAACTTAAAATAACCTTTACAGTAGGCAAATTGTACAAATTAAAGCTTTTTTAAAGCTCTAGAATTTCATATTTAAAAAATTCACTTTGGCCAAAATGTGAAACTAAACTTCTAACTGTGTATTGCTACCTGGGTTACTACTTTAACATGTAGGGATGCTTATCTTGTGAAGACAAGTAATTTTATATATACACATTTATATGTCATTTTCTAAGAGTGATACTTCAACTATATTCTATCCATAAACATGATAAAAGTATTGAATGGTTAACCTGTCCATCTAACAAGAGTCACAGGACAGTCTACAGACCTAGTCCAATTGCACTTGCTTGCTATCTTTCTATATACATGTATATGTTTATATTGGGCTGTATGACCATCAGCAGTCTTCTGAGGTCACCTCGATGGTTAATTAGATGGCGTCTAGACTAAAATACACACAAAATGCTGATACTTATTATTGAGTCCATGCATTGTTAATTGTTTATTTTAGACTTTTTGTAATTTAAATATATGTTTTAGTATGTTATAACTCAAATATGAGAATTCAAATTAAATCGGTGAACATGAATTTCACAGCTAATGCCTTTGAATAAATGTGGGTTCGAGGAGCCAACTTTTTACTTGTTTATTAAAGTTGGGCCCTCTGTTATAGATCCCATCACTATCCTCTAGTTTATTGTCCCCTACGCAAAGTGATGCAGGGGACATAAAAATACCGGGAGTCTGTCCGTCAGTCACCCCTTTGAAACATTAATTATATGGAAAATTGCATTGTTAGTGTTCTCATGTATACAATTCTTGCCAGAATTTTATGAAACTTATATCATAGGTTTATATCAGCAATATTTTTGACGAGTTCGAAAATCAGTGCCGATCTATTATTTTTAACGAGTTATGCCCCTTGGAAACATTAATTATATCTTAAATTGCATTGCATTTGCTCTGAAGCCTTCATTTCTATAAGATATTTATAAAAAGGTTTTTTTTTGTTATTGCCCTTGTACCTTGGATAGATAAAATATGTGCAACGCAGGGAACATTGGAACTCTGTTTTTTTATTTTGATTAGAGTTTGTGATATAGCAGAATTGGAAGGTGTAAACATATACAATAAAATAAAAAAAACTGTTGTAATGGGTTTATTAAAATAGATTTCAATCAAAAGATGAAAATGATCGACATAAAAACATTTTGCATATCATCGATAAAATATAGAGATCAAAATTGTTCATCTTGCAATCTGCTTGCCTTCCATGTAATGTTCAAGTGATTTTGCTTGCTTAAAATGTAGTTTCTAGTGGCTAATATTCCATGCTTATTCAGGACCACTTGTTGAATATTTACATGTGACTTTTATTTAAATGAAAGGGTATAGAATGAAATCTGCTGACAGTATGATGTTAAGTTGATATTTTCTATTTACAGTTGCAAGAGATAAAATTAACTCAGAATTCAAGAAGAACAAAGATGAAAAAGACACAGAAAAAATAAGTGAGGTTAGTTTCTGTTCAGTTTTTTTTCATCATTAGTTTTCCCTTTGAATTTTTTATGTCTGGCCTTTTATAGCTGATTGTTGAAGGCTGTACAGTGATCTTACATACTTGTAATTTGAACTTTGGTGGAAGCTTGTCTCATTAGCAATAATACCACATCTCCTAATTTTTATAAACTGTTGTTATAAGGAAATTTGAGAAAAATGTTTGATCCATTCATGTTAGAGTTCCTTTATCTCTTAATTCTTGTGTTTGTCTAATTGTTAATTGATTAATGCCCAGTTCCTTTCACTGACCCCATTGAACCAAGGGTTATTAATGGTAAAGTTAAAGTAATCTTTAATAAAGCTGCAACTCATTGAGCAGAAACTGCTTACACTCCTGGATAAGTATAATATATATTTTTTTCTTATTATTGATCATTTGTTGTTTTGGTCAACCTGCAGTTTTCTGTGTAGTTTTTAGTGAACGTTTAGTCTAAGTAGTTTATCTGACTTTATATTACTTCTGTTTTATATTGCCATTTTGGTATGTTCTCCCACTTTCTTGCAGATATAATAATACAAAAAGACATCTTATTCTTATTTATATTTTAGTTAATACAAATTGCAGAAGATTCTGAAGACATCCTGAGGAGAAATGTTGTTCAAGGAATTGTTCGAGAAGATGACAAAGCTTTAAGTAAATAATATTAAACTCGATTAGATATGTTGGTGACATACAATGCATATTCCCTCTTTATGTTACCAATATATGTAATCCCATATGCATTCATGTCAATTTATTTGATCTGAAATCAGTGAAAATAATGTTTACTGAAACATATTATCCCTAAGTTAACAGTTCAAATGTTCCATATATCACTTTTGTTTGAAGACGATATACATTTATTATTAGTTTTCCTTATTCAAAGAGATAATCAAAATATGCCGTATTTTTTCAGACCTCTCAAATGAGGGGAACATTTTATGGTTATTTGCTTATGAAAATCTGTCTATACTGAAATATTTAGGTAAATTAATTTATAGATGTCTAGATCTTAGAAGAAATGTTAATTAGTTTACAGCTACAAATGTATATAGTCTATTCTTTCATAGAAACAGGCAATATACCATATTTTCAAAACAATAAAACCAGCTTCACACATTTTTTCTGCACGTGAAACTCTGGTAATCTTTAAATTAATATTACCTGTTACACATTTGGATCAAAAAAAGAACTTAAGGAATCCATTTCATATTCAAAATAATGGTAATATTGTAAAATATCTGTTATGTTCAACTTACTCTTACAATACAAGTCAGATATGCATTCTACCATAATACAGCAGTATTGTGTTTAAAAAATTTGCTATGGTAATCTTTAATTTTATCTGTAAACTTTTAAACTTTATCTGTGTGCATGTCTCATCATATAGTGCTTGTTGTCCCTTGCCCTCAATCTGTAAACCTTTTAGAGCACCTTTGCAGAAAAGGACATATGGAAGGTTCTCTTCAAATGATCCACATTTGCATCTAATTCATATAATTGGTTATAGTATGATGAATGCCATCTTGTCATCAACATTTTGGTTTCAGTACAAAATTATTTTTGCCATAATTAAAAACTTTAACAAACTTCCCGTTATCCTGGTTATGTATAATTGGATAATGTTTTTTTTTAAACCTGCCAATTAACTTTCTGTAATGAAATTTGACAAGACAAGTATCCTTGAGAGGTTTTAACTTCTTCCTTCCAACAATGTGAGACCCTCATTGGTTAGTCAAGGTCATTAAACACTCCCTAGTAGTACTTCTTGATGTATATTTATTTACACTTGGATCACCTATTTTCTTATTCAAAGCAGGAATGATATAACATTACTTTCTTTTATTTCAGGACTTCGGATAAGAAAAGATGTTCTAAGAAGTGAACCCATGTATAGTCCAAAAGTCAAATATGAAGTACCACAAAATAAGAAACCAAATTCATCTGACAATCCTTCATGACAAAAAAGCAGGCTTTTAATTGTATTTATATCATTTCTTTGTTTACATTAAATTTATATCATGTGTATTTGGACTATTTAATGATACAAAGATTAGGTGATCAGGATTTCTGCATGTAAACTAGAAAAACGTAGAGCTAAGCTTACAAATTCATACCCCTGCTCACCAGTTTAAATAGATTTTGCAAAGTCCGTGTTTTGCTGTGTAAACTCCCAATATTATTCCAATAAAAAACATGATTACTAAGCTATAGTGAACTATCCCCCACAGGAATAAAATTGTGTGTACATTATAGAGTTGTCACCAGGAACATAGATTTTGTATTTGTTGCTGTTATTCTTGTCTTTTAAAGGTAGATGTAGTGTTTTTGCATATTAAGGATTAAGCATTATACTGGATTTCTATTTATAAATGGGAATGATGGAATAAACAACAATTTATCAGAGACAAAATTGTGAAAGTATCTAAATAATGATTATGTAATCAAGTTACATGTTATTAGAATGATGTTGATCATAAATGATGTTAAAAATTGGTAAAAGTCTAATACTCCCATAAAAATGGTTGAAACAAAATGATGGTACTATATAGTCGACTATACATAATGGCAAACAATCTTACCAATATGAGAGCTTTCAGTCAAACAGAGTCAGAGGAGATAGGTTCACAAAGTGTCATTGTGTTACAATAGTCTAATAAAATGCTTCGCTGGGCGCAGCTTGATACGACCGCAGAGGTGGAACCCTGAACAGTTGGGGCAAGTATGGACACAACATTCAAGCTTGATACAGCTCTGAATTTGGATTGTGATTAAATATTTTACACAGCATAGGTTTCTGACACAGAAAGAATGTGGTCTTAGAACTTGAATTTTTTTAATTAACCTATTATGGTCCAATGTCCAAAATCAAAATACATGGTTAGATTCAACATATCAAAGAACCCCATATATTCAATTTTTGTTGAAATCAAACAAAGTTTAATTTTGGACCCCAACTTTGACAAACTTGAAAACTGGGCCCATAATCAATAAAATGTTCCTCTGGGGCGCTGCTTGATACGACTGCAGAGGTGAACCCTGCACAGTTGGGGCAAGTATGGACACAACATTCAAGCTTGATAAAGCACTGAATTTGGATTGGAATTAAATATTTGACACAGCATAGGTTTCTGACACAGAATGAATGTGGTCTAAGAACTTAAATTTTTTTAATTTACCTATTCAAACCATATCATTATTATTTGCTTTTATATATAAATCAGAAATAACCAATTTAAAATGGAAAATTTTAAAGAAAAAAAAGGAAAAAAAAATCCCCCCCCAAATTTTTTGAGCCCCTTATGATTCATCACCCCAAAATCAATCCCAGCCTTCCCTTTGTGGTATGGTACCTTGCAGTACAATTTCAGAGAGATCCATACACTTAAACACAAGTTATTGTCTGGAAACTAGAAAAATGCTTGTTTTTTGGCCCCAAATTCCTAAATGTTTAGGGCAATTACCACCAAACTCAAACCCAGCTTTCCCTTTGTGATATGGAACCTTGTAGTACAATTTCATAAAGATCAATACACTAACACACAAGTAATTGTCCTGAAACTAGAAAAATGCTTGTTTTTTTGCCCCTTTATGGCCCCTAATTCCTAATATTTTGAGGGAATTACCCCCAAAATCAATCCCAGCCTTCCCTTTGTGGAATGGTACCTTGCAGTACAATTTCAGAAAGATCCATACACTTGAACACAAGTAATTGTTTGGAAACTAGAAAAATGCTTATTTTTGGCCCCTTTTTGGCCCCTTATTCCTAAACATTTTGGGCAATTACCCCCAAACTCAATTCCAGCTTTCCCTTTGTGATATGGAACCTTGTAGTACAATTTCAGAGAGATCTATACACTTACACACAAGTTATGGTCATGAAACTAGAAAAATGCTTCTTTTTTGCCCCTTTTTTGCCCCTAATTCCTAAAATTTTGAGGCAATTACCCCCAAAATCAATCCCAGCATTCCCTTTGTGATATGGAACCTTGTGGTACAATGTCAGAGAAGTCCATACACTTACACACAAGTTATTGTCATGAAACTAGAAAAATGCTTGTTTTTTGCCCCTTTTTGGCCCCCAATTCCTAAAATTTGGAGGCAATTACCGACAAAATCAATCCCAGCATTCCCTTTGTGATATGGAACCTTGTGGTACAATGTCAGAGAGATCCATACACTAACACGCAAGTTATGTCTGGAAGTTACAAAAATGCTTATTTTTGGCCCCTAATTCCTTAACTGTTGGTACCATAACCCCCAAAATCAATCCCCACCTTCCTTTTGTGGTATTGAACCTTATGGTAAAATTTCATAGAGATCCATTCACTTAAACTAAAGTTAGAGTGCTAAAACCAATGTGTCTTCTGACGACGACGACGCCAACGTCATACCAATATACAACCGCAAAATTTTTTTGCGGTCGTACAAAAATCTAAACACATGTTTAGATTTAGCATATCAAAGAACCCCAAGAATTCAATTTTTGTTAAAATCAAACTAAGTTTAATTTTGGACCCTTTGGACCTTAATGTAGACCAATTTAAAAAACGGGACCCAAAATTAAAAATCTAAATACACAGTTAGATTTGGAATATCAAAGAACCCCAATAATTCAATTTTTGATGAAATCAAACAAAGTTTAATTTTGGACCCTTTTGACCTCAATATGAACCAATTTGATAGTGGGGCCCACAAATAAAAAATCTAAATACATGGTTAGATTCAGCATATCAAAGAACCCCATATATTCAATTTTTGTTGAAATCAAACAAAGTTTAATTTTGGACCCAATTTGGACCAACTTGAAAACTGGGCAAAAAATCTAAAATCTAAATACATGTTTAGATTCAGCATATCAAAGAACCCCATATATTCAATTTTTGTTGAAATCAAACAAAGTTTAATTTTGGACCCCAACTTGGACCAACTTGAAAACTGGGCCCATAATCAAAAATCTAAACACATGTTTAGATTCAGCATATCAAAGAACCCCAAGAATTCAATTTTTGTTAAAATCAAACTAAGTTTAATTTTAGGACCCTTTGGACCTTAATGTAGACCAATTTAAAAAACAGGACCCAAAATTAAAAATCTAAATACACGGTTACATTTGGCATATCAAAGAACCCCAATAATTCAATTTTTGATGAAATCAAACGAAGTTTAATTTTGGACCCTTTTGACCTCAATATGAACCAATTTGATAGTGGGGTCCACAAATGAAAAATCTAAATACATGGTTAGATTTAGCATATCAAAGAACCCCATGTATTCAATTTTTGTTGAAATCAAACAAAGTTTAATTTTGGACCCCAATTTGGACCAACTTGAAAACGGCCCAAAACCAAAAATCTAAATACATGTTTAGATTCAGCATATCAAAGAACCCCATATATTCAATTTTTGTTAAAATCAAACAAAGTTTAATTTTGGACCCTTTGGGCCTTAATGTAGACCAATTTGAAAACTGGATCCAAATTTAAAAATCTAAATACACGGTTAGATTCGGCATAACAAATAAATAAATGTGGTTAAAGATTTTACAAATTTAATGCGCCATACTGTGCAATTAAAGATTACTTCTTGAAATTTTTTCAATATTTGAAATTTGAAAAAAAAAAAATATTTAAAGAATAATTCTTTTTAATTTCTGAAATCTGAAATGAGAAAAAATTGACCCCCCCCCCCCCCCTTTTTTCCCCCAAAAAATTCTTTCCCTCAAGATATGGTCATAATCTCAATTCAAATTTCCAATGGAGTTTGCAACCATAATTACCCATTTAAATTTACCATAGTGCTAACTTAATCTATTTTATAATAGAATTTAAAATATAGTGTCAAATCTTTCATATGGATTTTTTTGTGTAAAAAAAAAAGATGCAACATTTGCAGATATTTTTACTGGTCTTCCTTTATAAATATGCATTTCTTTAAACATAATTTAAAAGCAGTGTAAGGGAAGTAACCAAAACGTTGTATTTGGATTACCTCCCTTACACTGTTTTAAATTATCTTAATTGTTCATTAACCATTACTTTATACATAATTTAAAAGCAGTGTAAGGGAGGTAATTTCAATGATGTATTTGATTTGTCTCCCTTACACTGCTTTAAATTATGTTTTGTACTAAAGTATTTGTCCATTAACCAGGACAACCTTGTTTTTCCACCTTTTTTGCCCCCAATTCCTAAACGGTTTGAGCCATAACCCCCCAAAGCAAATCCTAACCATCCCTTTGTGGTATGGAAACTTGTAGTATAATTTCAGAGAGATCCATACACCGTTCCAGAGTTATTGTCTGGAAACTAGAAAATGCTTACAACGATGACGCCGGACAAAGACGACAACGACGCCAATGTCATACCAATATATGACCGCAAAAAATTGCGGTCGTATAAAAATGGTCAGAGTCCCACAATTCCCTTAAAAATGGTTTAATCAAAAGGATGGTACAAAATTATCAACACCACATGATGGCAAACAATGCTACCAAGTATAAGAGCTTTCTAGTTGGCATTGTGTTACAAAGTCTAATGGTTCAGTAGTCAAAATAATGGTCCCATAAACTTGTATAGAAATTGTCAAACCGCACTGACAGTAAAGTATAGTAAGAGAATACAATGAAAATAACCTACCAAGTATGGTAGTTTTTCATACGCCCGTTTATGGGATGTATTATGGTTTATGTTGTCTGTCTCTTGTCAACATGTCGGACAATAACTCAAAAACGCTTTAACCAATTTTCATGAAACTTTGGTGAATTGTTTATATCTATTGACATAACCTCCCTTTCGATTTTTAAAAATTTTAAATTCTACCTATCCGAGTTGTGGGATTTTATTCATAAAAAGGGGGGGTTTTCAAGTTTTCGGACAATAACTCAAAAAAATGCTTTTAGCAGTTTTCATGAAACTTTGGTGACTGGTTTATATCTATTAAGATAAGCTCCCTTTAGTTTCTTTTATAAATTTCTGATATGACATTGAGGAGTCTTGGAGCTTTATTTTTGAAAAAGCGATGGGCGTATCATGGGCTCATTGCACAGCTCCTTATTGTCAATTGGTCTCAAGAGTATTGGTGTGTTTTAGACTGACAGAAGAAGATTATTACTATATCTCCTGCAGTTCCAACAACATGGGACAAATATAGGAGAGGCATTATAGGAACGTGTGTAAGTAAGATTCTATGAAAAATTATTTCAAATAAGGGTCATCGTCTTAAAGGAGATGTCTACTTTAATTTGTAGATCAAGTTCATATTTTGCAATCGAAAACAAAATGAGAATAGCAGATGCAAAATGCCAAAAGGTACTCGAGATTCTATGAACTTTTCATTGAAATCAAGTCTGTGGTTTGAGAGGTCAGTTGCAGATAAATTTAACAGACAATGATTACTATCTACCACAGCTTCAGGAGAGGGGTTAGTCTGCTGTCCATATTTTATTTGGTGATTTAAAGTTGGTCAAGAAATCCTCATTAAAGTCAATAACTCTTGTATGGCATCAAGCCCTTTTTAAAAACTGTTTTTTTTTGTTTCTTATGCTGTTAATACACTGTTCCAGGTTAGGGATGCTAAAATTGGTATAAAAAATCCTCCTTTAAAGGCAATAACTTTCATATGAAGTCATCTGATTATTTTATTTGCAACAGAAAGAGGTAAATCTTGACAATTTGAATATTTAGGCAGGTCAGATTTTCTGTATATCATATACATTTAAGATATTGTAGACAATCCTTTTTATTCTATTTTTAGCTGTAGTAAGCCTTATTAGCTCACCTGGCCTGAAGGTCCAAGTGAGCTTTTCTCATCACTTGGCGTCAGTCGTCATTAACTTTTACAAAAATCTTCTCCTCTGAAACTACTAGGCCAAATTGAACAAAACTTGGACACATCATCATTTGGGTATCTTGTTTAAAAAATGTGGCTGATGACCCTACCAGCCACCCAAGATGGCCGACATGGCTAAAAATAAAACCTAGGGGTAAAATGCAAGTTTTGTCTATTATTTTGAAAAGCTTTATAAATGGAGAAAATCTGACAAGAGCAAAAATGTTAAGAATGTTGAGCTCTACCAATTGTTCTATACGTCAAAACTGTCAGACGACTTCTTATAGGAATTATTGCCCTTAAATGACAAATTTTACCATATTTTTTTGCGTTTTTGCCATATATCTTAAAAATTATAATAGAGATAGAAACTTTAATATGTAAAAATGATCAGGAAGACAAGATCTACAATAAGACAATATGGAGGAAAAAATCTCCTTATTGCAGTTATTGCCCTTTAATGATGATTTTACCATTTTTTTGCGTTTTGTTAAATGATAAAAATTATAAAGATAAATAGACATTTTAAATCACAAAAATTATCAGCAAGGCAAGATCTACTAACAAGTCAAATTTTGCCGATAAAGTTAGTAGACTGTCACTCTTTATAGGAGTGATTGCCCTTAAATGATGATTTTTTTTTACCCTCTTTTGTGTTTTGCACAAAAAACCAAAGAAGATAGAAAGAAACTAAACAGACTAAATGATCAGCAATACAAGAACAACAAAACAGATTTTTGTCATAAATTCTATTCTCATCTACAATTTTGGAGAGTGTCCTTTGTTGAATATGCACATAGACCAAGGTGAGCGACACAGGCTCTTTAGAGCCTCTAGTTGTTTATGCTCTCAAACAATGTATATTTTTGCTGCCAAGTTATGTAACTATTGAAGGTATTCCCAGTAACATGTGCAAGGAAATTAAAACAAGCCAAGAGAAAAACCAACATCCGGAATTATATATCAACAATAAACAAATAACAGTTTTGTTGGACGG